GGGTGGTGTGTTCTGGTTTTATTTTTTGTTTTTACAGCTTTATTGAGATACAGTTTACATCCCATACAGTTCACCCATTTAAAGTGTATTATTCAGTGCTTTTAGTATGTTCACAGGTATTTACAGTCATCACCAAATATTTTAGAACATTTTCATCACCTTAAAAAAAACCCTGCACCCTTTACTTATCATCCCTATTACCCCTTGCATCTAGCCCTAAACAACTGCTAATCTACTTTCTGTCTCTATGGATTTGTCTATTCTGGACATTTCATATGAATGAAAATAATGTAAAATGTACTCTTTTGTGACTGGCTTCTTTCACTTAGCATGGTGTTTTCAAAGTTTGTCTGTGTTGTAGCATATATCAGTATTTCATTCCTTTTTATGGCCAAATAATAGTCTGTTGTATAGTTATACCACATTTTGTTTAATCATCACCAGTTGGTGGACATTTGGGTTGTTTCTGTCTTTTTGGCTATTTCAGTAATGCTGCTGTGAACATTTATATACAGGTTTTTGAATGGATATGTATTTTCATTTCTCATGGGTATATGCTGAGGCGTGAAATTCCTGAATCATATGGTAATTATCTGTGTTTCACTGAACAACTGCCCAGACTGTTTTGCGTAGTGGTTGCACTATTTTACATTCACACCAGTAGTGATAATTTGGGTTTCTTAAAGTAATGAATCATTCTTTATTTCTTTTTTTTTTGAGATGGATTTTTGCTCTTGTTGCCCAAACTGGAGTGCAGTGGTGCGATCTTGGCTCACTACAACCTCTGCCTTCTGGGTTCAAGCAATTCTCCTGCCTCAGCCTCCTGAGTAGCTGGGATTATAGGCGTGCACCACCACCTCCAACTAATTTTTGTATTTTTAGTAGAGATGGGGTTTCACCATGTTGGCCAGGCTGGTCTCAAACTCCTGACCTCAGATGATCCACCTGCCTCAGCCTCCCAAAGTGCTGGGATTACAGGCATGGAGCCACCGCACCTGGCCTCATTCTTCAATATATTTCTGATAACTAAATTTTTATAAGCGATTTTTCTTTTTAAAGTATTGTATACATTATCCCACTTTGTTTTTTTATGTAGAGAATATGTCTGTCCATAAAATTTGGTGGAAGACAAGTTTCATTCCTTTTTTTTTTTTTTTTTTTTTTTTTGGAGACAGAGTTTCACTCTTGTTACCGAGGCTGGAGTGCAATGGTGCGATCTCAGCTCACTGCAACCTCTGCCTTCCAGGTTCAAGTGGTTCTCCTGCATCAGCCTCCCGAGTAGCTGGGATTACAGGCATGCCCCACCACGCCCGGCTAATTTTTTGTATTTTTAATAGGAATGGGGTTTCACCGTGTTAGCCAGCCTGGTCTTGAACTCCTGATCTCAGGTGATCCACCTGCCTTGGCCTCCCAAAGTGCTGGGATTACAGGCATGAACCACTGTGCCCAGCCACATTCCTTATTTAAAATAAATAAATAAATCTATTTCAAGCTCCCACTGGCCTGGTTACATTAAAAATATTTAATCTCTGTTATCATTCCTACCTCCTACACAGACTGACACTTGGATCATATAAGAATGTCATCCTGAGGCCGGGCGCGGTGGCTCAAGCCTGTAATCCCAGCACTTTGGGAGGCCGAGACGGGTGGATCACAAGGTCATGAGATCGAGACCATCCTGGCTAACCCGGTGAAACCCCGTCTCTACTATAAAATACAAAAAACTAGCCGGGCGAGGTGGCGGGCGCCTGTAGTCCCAGCTACTCGGGAGGCTGAGGCAGGAGAATGGCGTGAACCCGGGAGGCGGAGCTTGCAGTGAGCTGAGATCCGGCCACTGCACTCCAGCCTGGGCGACAGAGCGAGACTCCGTCTCAAAAAAAACAAAAACAAAAACAAAACAAACAAACAAACAAAGAATGTCATCCTGAAGTAGTGTCAGAAAATTAGAGGAGCACAAGGTCTTTTGTGCCTCCCTCTTGACTGCTGAAAATTCCAAGGTGTCCTTCACAGTAATCTCATCACTGGCCACCAACAGATGCTGCATCGTAAAACCTCATTCTCCATCCAGGATGCCCTGTGCATGAGGCACTGTTTTCTGTCACCCCATTTTCTACTTCAGCGAGGCTCTAGACAAGCTTCTGCTTTCTTCCAGGACCACGGCGTCAGCTTTAAAGTCGTTTTTCCTGTCCTTCTCTCTCAGGGTTTTCCCAGCTTAATCCTTTTGTCTTAGACTGAAACACAAGCTCTCTTCCTCTTAAAGTGTGGTAGTTGGGCTGTAAAACCAATTAGATCTTTAGAAAGGACACTATATAATACATATTTTTTCCCTTACTTGCTGGGGTAGGGCTAGGAAAAGATATGCTAACACCAGATATTTTTTCTGTCTTGTATTTCTTAAGATTACTTTGATGTAATCTGTGGAAGTAGTGTTTTCCTTTTTTTTTTTTTTTTTTTTAGAAGAAATAGCTGCACCAAAGAGAGATGGGTCCAAGACCATGCCAAAAAATACGTATATATAGTATCCTTTCTAAAAATCTAATTGGTTTTACAACCCAGTTACCACACTAACAGAATCAGAACTGGATGTTAGGTCTTTGAATGTTTTGCCTTAGATTTTTCCTGTAGAATTTATTGCATTATTTGTGATCAGTGCATTATTCAATAACATTAAATGTGAATTAACATATTTACTAAAGTTATTAGAGGTTTTTGAAAATGGTTTTTAAAATCTAATCAGCTCCTGGCATTGTTAATAGGTTTGTAAGGACTCAGAACTAGATAAGTCTTTGAAATGGACTTTTGGGAGATTGGAAAAGCTGCCTAAGTCAGAAGGTAGGCACCATCATAAATGGAGGGTGGAGCAAAAGCAATTTTTCTTTTTCTTCTTTTTTTTTTCATTAGGAAAGTGCTAGGAAATGGGTTCCTAACACTGTGTGTGACCGAAAGAGAGGCTCAGTTTAAAGAGGTTGGTGGGTAAAAGAAAATGGAGATTCAAGAGAAAATGTGGTACATTAATTCAATTCACGCCTTTTTACCCAGTGTGCTTATTTCTTTGATAAAGAGAAGGTCAGTTTCTTTGAGGATAGAAAACTTTGGGTGATAAGAATGCTTAGAGGAGGGCATCTGGATATTTTGATGACAGACATGGTGTGGGGGAGGGGGCTTGTTATTAAATCAGTTGTATCAAGATCACATATTATCTATTTTCCAGTTTCCCTAAGCATAAAAAATGAAATCCAAGTTAACTAAAGGGCAAGTCTTACTGAGAAAGACTGTGAAATCTGTCTAACAGAACTTTAAAATTAGGTGTGATGCCAAGTTATCTTGTGTACTTGGGGTCAGAGAGAGATAGAGGATGATCCTGGAGTTGTGAAGATTTTGTTAAAAGCAGCCCACCAGCAAATATTTACTGACAGTTGAATATCTATGTGCATGTGCTGTTTTAATAATTGGTAACATAGCCACAAACAGGACAGACTCCTTTCATTACAGCAGCTTACATTTTATTGGGGAGACAGACAAACAAATACAAATATAAAATAGGCCTGGCACAGTGGCTCACGCCTGTAATCCCAGCACTTTGGGAGGCCAAGGTGGGCGGATCACCTGAGGTCAGGAGTTCGAGACCAACCTGACCAACGTGGTGAAACCCTGTCTTTACTAAAAATACGAAAACTAGCTGGGCGTGGTGGCGCATGCCTGTAGTCCCAGCTGCAGAGGCAGAGGTGAGAGAATTGCTTGAACCCTGGAGACGGAGGCTGCAGTGAGCCGAGATCGTGCCATTGCATTCCAGCCTAGGTAACAGAGTGAGACTCCATCTCAAAAAAAAAAAAAAAAAAAAAAAACCAACCAACCAAACAAAAATATAAAATAATGGATTTTAACTAAGTGCTATGAAGATGATAAAACAAGGTAAAGTGTAGAGAGTGACCGGGGACTGCCTTAGTTGGGACAGTTAGGGTCATCCTCCCTGAGGGGATGGTGTGTATGATAAAACCTGAATGATAGGAGCCTTGCTTAGTGGGTAATGATGAATGAAGGTGCTTTCCACTCCTCCACCCTAGTTTTAGACTGTTGGCCATCTGAAAGGAACAAAATGTGCTGGTTTACCTCATTTTACATCTAAAATACTGGTACATTTTAAGAGATACTATGATTTTCTTTTCTTTCTTTTTTTTTTTTTTTGAGATCGAGTCTCGCTCTGTCGCCCACGCTGGAGGGCAGTGGTGCAATCTCAGCTCACTACAGCCTCTGCCCCCTGGTTTCAAGCTTAATTCTCCTGCCTCAGCCTCCTAGTAGCTGGGATTACAGGCATGCACTACCACACCTGGCTAATTTTTGTATTTTTAGTAGAAATGGGGTTTGATTATGTTGGCCAGGCTGGTCTTGAACTCCTGACCTCAGGTGATCCACCTGCCTTGGCGTCCCAAAGTGCTGGGATTACAGGCGTGAACCACTGAGCCCAGCCTGGATACTGTGATTTTCTTGGTAATGAAGTTCACTCATTAATTACTCAGATTGCCACCCTGAATTTCTTGTGGCCTGCTTAAATGCAAAAATAGATCTTGAAGTTTTTAGTTGAAATATTAAACTCAATTCAGTAGGTCACACGGAAAGTGGGTTCTCAGGCTTAGTGGAGATTGCCAACGTGACACCATGCTCACCTAACTCATGTTTTCAGAAACAAATGTCCCACTGTGAGTGCGAGTATATATGTGCTTGTGGTGGCACATCTTCCAGAAAAGAAAAATGAAAAGTGAAGGGTCTAATTTCAAGTAGCCCTTTATGTTTCTGCCTTTTTCCAGAAAAGATCAGTTCATCTTGATAGTAGTTGAAAGAAAAGTAATGAGAGACTATTTTGAGAAATCTTTGCCCACTCTTTGTGGGATTAGGAAAAACAAGAGGTGCCTAGACTCTAGAAGTTTAGTCGGCTCAGACATACCTACTTTGTCCAGTCAGAGTTTGCATAGATACTGACACTGGTGTCTTTCCTCTGGCAGATGGCTCAATCACAAAGGGGTGAGACAGAAACGCCTGAATGCCTGGCTGGGAATTAAGAATGAGGATGCTGATGAGTAAGTTCTCTCTAGACCTTTCGGTCAGAGGGCTTTGTTATCAATATAAGACGTGCGCCTTGTTTATACATGGTAAATATTGGTTGTCATTGTCACTTGAGGACATTGAATCTAGAACTTTGACTCTCTTTTGAATTGAATTGAATTGCCTGAAAGTACCCTATAGGCACTGGAGTTCAGAGACCTGCCTCTGAACTCAAAATCTGGATGTATAAGCTACTTTGAGTATAGCTACTCAAAATCTGGATGTAAAAGCACCGTTATTCAGATGTTCATATTTCAGCTTATTGGATGAAACATGAATTCTGTGCTTTATGCACCATAGCAAGTAATGAAGCTAACACCCAACTAATTGCAATTTTGGTTTGTCATTTGTGGTTTAAAGATTTAGAAGAGTGTTTTATTTATGAATTTGCTTTTAGATAGAAGTAACTTGTTAGAATAACAATTAACATTTAATTTTTAGGAACTATTTTATCAATGAGGAAGATGAAAACCTGCCCCACTATGATGAGAAAACCTGGTTTGTTGAGGATATCAATCGAGTACAAGCAGAGGACTTGCTTTATGGGAAACCTGATGGTGCATTCTTAATTCGTGAGAGTAGCAAGAAAGGATGCTATGCTTGCTCTGTGGTGTAAGTCTTCTCTGGGGATATAGCCTTTTGAAATCTTTTGCATTAATTAATATGAAATCAACCCCTTGTAAAATTCAGATGAAATTAGTTAATGTACAGTAACGAGGACCCATGGCTTGGACCATAACTATTAGTACAAAAAAACCCAGCTTTATGAGAAATGATATCTGAAATTATCCTGGAGTTTTAATTTACATGGTAAGTAGATTAGGTCCTGCAGTATTGCTGTTGGATTTCAGGTATCTGTGAAAGGTAATGTGAGATCTTAAATTGAAAAAAAAAAAAAAAATCACTTAATTCTTGAGTAGTATCCTATACACCTAGTATGGTCTCCAGTGTCAGATTAGGAAAGGCTTGATTAAATAGAACTGTTTTTACTTCAGAAGGAAAACTCTATCTAAAAATTTAAATTATATATTATTCTGTTGATGTAGTGATAGGAAATGTGGACGTGTTTTCCGTAAGATAATCATGTGACTCTTTTGAGAAAAGCCCATTTTCCTTGTAATGGAAAGTGAAATTTTGGGGATAACTAACTGTGCCTTGGTCAGATTTTTGCCTGAGTGTGGAATATATTCCTTAAGAAGGCAAACATCTTCATTGACAAAAGCCACACTTAGAAAAGAGTTACGATGGTGCCAGATATACTGGGTTCAGCTCCTGGCTCTACTGCTTACTAGCTGGGTCACCTTGGGTAAATTACTTAGTCTTTGCCCAGTTTCCTTATCTGTAAAATAAGGATAATACCTACTTTAGGGTTTTTGTGAGGATTAAATGAGCTAATCTATGTCATACAATATGCTTTTAACATAAGAAGTAAATGTCACCTACTAATATGATGATGATGCTACTGATGGATGTGGCAGAAGGCAAACAAAGTGACAAAGTGATTGTGCCCTTAGAGGGCAAAGTGGAGAAGATAGAGGAAAGGCATTCATATTAACAGACTGCTCAGTGCTTTATGTGATCATCTTGTTTGTAGCACTCTACTTCTGTCATGGAGTCAGAGTTTGAATCCAAGTTTACGTGGTTTCAAAACCCACATTTTTCTATTGCACCAGGGTTTTTTCATTTCAGCAAATATCCAAGATGAATAGGACCACTGTGAAATAAGTATCATTAGTAGGCTGTGCACATGTGGAAGGGTTAATTCTAGTGGAGAAAGAGTGGATTGGGAGGTTTTGTGGAAAAGGCATCTGAGATGGACCTCAAAAAGATGAATGGGATGTCTTACAGTTGGAAAATGGGGGAGGAGTTGAAAAGTGCATTGGATTACTGTTATCCAAAGATAGAACTACTTGCAACGTTTCATTTCTCCTTGACTTGGGCTATTCCAGTTATCTGAGTGGAAATATAGGTGAGGATGGTTCTTGTAAGACTTTGGGTCTTCTAAGAATAATAAAGAAGGCAGGAAGCCCAGTTGCTCACTCACTCAGGTTATTGGGTGGCAGCCTGTAGGTTCAGGACTTGGTTGGAGTCCTTACATAAACTGATTAATCAAAAACTACCCTTGGCTGGGCGCAGCGGCTCATACCTGTAATCCCAGCATTTTAGTAGGCTAAGGCAGGAGGATTCCTTGAGCCCAGGAGTTCACGACCTGCCTGGGCAACATAGCAAGACCCCATTTCTACTAAAAATAAAAAAGTAGCTGGGCATGTGGCTCACACCTGTAGTCCCGGCTACTTGGGAAGCTGTGGTGAGAGGATCACTTGAGCCCAGGAGTTTGAGGCTGCAGTGAGCTGTGATCAAGCCACTGTACCCTAGCCTTGGTGATAGAGCGAGACCCTGTCTAAAAAAAAAAAAAAGAAAGGAAACATTTACATTTATGGTTGTTTTAACGCCTGTATCTGTGGCCAAGTCTGTAGGGAATGGGGACGCAATTTTACAAGCTTTGCCTGGTTAACAAAAAACACTTATCTGCATAACAGTTGCTCTCAGACTTCTGGCCATTTAGCGTCCCTTTATTTATCGTTACCTACCTTACCATTTCTTCTGTGGTGTGTCATTGCAGGGCTGATGGGGAAGTGAAGCACTGTGTGATCTACAGCACTGCTCGGGGCTATGGCTTTGCAGAGCCCTACAACCTGTACAGCTCTCTGAAGGAGCTAGTGCTCCATTACCAGCAGACATCCTTGGTTCAGCACAACGACTCCCTCAATGTCAGGCTTGCCTACCCTGTTCATGCACAGATGCCCTCGCTGTGCAGATAAAGAGGAAGTGGGAAGAGAGGTGGTTCTCTGGCATTTTTTTCTACAGTTTTTATTAGACTACGATGAGGGCATTCTTTCTACATAGACTGCTTGTTTTGCACAAGAAGTGATTCTGTGAATGTGAAGTGGAGAGGCCGAGCAGCAGCCGGCCGGGATGGGGGCATTAGAGGCCTGAGGTTCTCTGGGACTCAGCCATGCCGCTGCACTGACATACTAAGCTGGAAGCAGATGTTTTTTTGAAAGTCTATTTCATTGGGGTTTTTGTTTTGTTTAGCCAGGCACCCTCAACAGAATATTAGGCTTGATGGTTATAGTGGGTGGGGTTGTATTTGGAAGCCTCTGAAGAGGCCATGTCTTTTTTAAATCCTTAACTCTTGAGAGTGCAGCAGGGGCATGGCTCTGCTGGGAGTTCTGTTTTGCTTTGGCAGTCTCTCTTCCCCCCACGAAGAAGGCTGTTTTGGTTTTGTGATAGAATGGGATTTGATGAAAAAGACAACCAAAGGAAAATGGGAAGGCTTGGGATTTCATTCAAACAATCTAAGCCGAGATGATAAAAAAAAACCTTCAACTGAAGGTACTTTATTTCTTACCAACATAATTTAGGCTTCAGCATCTCATCAGCCCCTCCCTCTAAAGAAGTATTATGTTCAGAAGCCAACAAAACAATGTTTGTTGCCAGACCAATGTTTGATGGAAAAACGTAGCACTCATAGATGAATGTATACTTCTGTACCAAAACTTGAACATAAAAAGACTAGAAATTGTGAGTTTTAGCAAACACTAAAATTGGTCAGTGTAACCCCTTCTGTCCTGCCTGTTTCTCTGAGATGAGAAATAGCGTTCTTTTTGTGGGGATGGTGAGTTTTGAATCATAAAATGAAGTTGGTGCTTGTGTGGTGTTTCCTTAGCCTAAAGAATGATCTATTGTTTGAAATCTTTGTAACTTGTTTGTATGAGTCAAGAAAAGGTGCAATCCAGTGCTTTTAGATGGCTTGATATACCAAATAACAATATAGAACAACATTATTATATGTGCTTTCCAAGTTTAAAGGCCCTGCAGAAATAGTAAACATGATTTAATTTCCCTTCATCTCCCCCTCCTTTGCTGGATGGGGTTTTGGGAGCTATAGGTTGCTAAGGAGGGGAGTCAGATTGTGGTCAGGGGCCTCAGTAAATCACAGACCCAGGGGCCCTGTGGTCCGGGTGAGAGTCATACCACATTACACATGTGCTTCCATACAGTGGTTTCTGAAGCTTTTGCAGGGAGAGAAGATGGCTTAGTGTTTAGACTGTTAGTAGAAGCCATCTGGAAGCTTTTCTCTTTGCCTTTTTTTGTGATCCTGCCATAAAGGCTATGTGCAGTCTGCCCTCATGCTCCAGTGGCCTTGATTTTAGGCCAGGAATCTTCTGCTCCATGTGGCTTAAGCCTTCCAGCTGAGTGAAGCTAGGCAAATGGAGTGGGGGCAGGCATCTATTCCTGCCCCCATCATGCCCCACACCCATCAATCAGTCAACACTCATTTGACAAATAGAGTCCAGCTGCCTCTGAGCCAATCCCGGAACCATAATAGGCTCAGAGTGAGTCAGCTGTTTGAACCCAAAGCTGTGCAGTCAGGCATCCTGGCTGAGCTAGAGAAGCCAGTACCTGCCTCTTGGTTTATAAGGTTACAGCTAGGAAAGCTCTAGTTTTGGGGGTGAAAGAAAAATATAACTTTACCTGAGCACTTATTTCTGTGACAGTGTCTAAAATATGGACCATGATGTAGACATAGATTTATAAATTTGGAGAAACCTCCAGTTACTAGCGATGAGGATAGGAAGGGAAGTGCTTATCTTTGGCTTTTTCTTGGTTACATTGCAGTTTCAGGATTGGGTGAGACAGAGACAAATGAACCCCCCTCTGAAGTAATTTAACTAATAGCCAGCACATCCCTTCCCCAAACTGTCGATTGAAATCTTACTGAAAGTTTTACTGAGTAATACCAAGCTAATTGCTGCTGGGCACACCTGCATGGCTTTGCACCTGGTGTTGAACCTGCTGAAGCAGGTGGATGCTCAAGATTACGTGTAAGGAATCCCTCCTGTCTGGTACTAACATTTCAGTGTGTTCTGAGTGTCTTTTAAACCAAAATGGAAATACAGATACATGCCTGTAGTATTCAGTGTGTCTGCTCCTTTTTGGGCAGACACAGAGGGTGTGCAGGGAGAGACCAAGTACCATCTTTATCTACACTTGGGCTGGCTTGTGGAGAAGGGCTGCTTTTTTTCAGTCCTACATTCCTTCATTTTTTTTTTCTTTTGTTTTTCGTTCTTGAATTCATTGTTTTGTGGGATCTAAGACCCAGGGGTCATTTGAGAGGTTTGACAGTATCTTTTCTGACCAGTTGCCACATGACTTGCTTGACCCCGAGCCAGTGGAAATGGCATAGTGACCAGTCTACTACCCACTGAGCCTGGTGTGTAGAGGGGGATAGGGTAGCAAGGTGCATCTCTACGCCCATGACTTGAGAGGAGATCTTGGCCTCTTTCATGAGAATCTAGTGCTGTTTCCTGTCCCGTGATCTGGACCCTGGGACTATCTGTTTTGGCATCTTAACTGCAGTTTCAATGAGGCAGAGGGCAAAGAGAGACCAAGATCAGAGGGGCTTATTATACCCCCGGCTGGAGAACCCAGCTACTGACATGAAAGCAGCTTGGGGCTGGCTGGACACAGGTACTAGGCCCATCGTTTTCAGGTGAAGCTTTCATCACAGAATAGTGCCATCTCCACCTGGCCATAGATGCCATGCCATGATTCAGGCCTGGATAGGCTGCCTGTGTCCTTACCACTGATCTGGCCAAGAATGAGGACCTCCCAACACTTTCACTCCCTCTCCAAGCCTTGGTGGGACCTCCACTTACTTTAGGCCTCATGTGCTGTGAAGAAGCTTTGAGAGCCAATGTGGTGTCTTCCACAGGTCTCCTCTTTTTGCTGCAAGGAATCAGCCCCATGTATTCTCTGAAACTGAGAATTGCACCTGGGCAATTCCTGTTTTCTAAGGTGGTCTCTGCTGCTAGTTAAGAACCCAGAGTAGGCCTCTGTGAGGCTTCAGTGGTCTCAGAAACCAGAGGGTCCAGATAGGGGGCCTGCTTGGGCCCTCTGTGGCCAACTGCTCAACCCTGCTTTAGCTCCAGCCACTTGTGGCAAACCACCTCGTTTCCTTACAAATTCCAGCATGTGACTTTGGTGCCCTGTTACTTGTGAAAATTTATTCTGTTGTCTTCGATGTAGTCCAAAAAAAATTCATGTAGTTTTTACATAAAAATATCTGACTCCCAAGAAAGCCAATTGTATGTCTTGTGATGGGACAGTTCATATGTAGTTCCTAGACCACTTTGCAAATTGTTCTTGTCACCAGATGTGTTCAGACATTGCTGTGCAATTGTGGGGGAGGGTAGGGGGAAAGGCGAGAGGAGTTACTTATTGGTCTTTTTGTTTTATAACCTTCCCCAAGAGGGGACAGTCTGGCCAACTTGCTCCAGTAATGCAATAAACACATTGCAATAAAGTAATTTTTTGTCTGCATGCTATGAAAGGGTGGGCTGGGGGCAGAGTGGGGGTCAAGAGAGAAAAGTACTCAGGTGTTGAACAGCCCTTGAAACTTCCAAACCTTCTCTCCAGTAAGCGCCAAAAGACTAGTACTTGGGCTGAACTGGGGCAACCAAAGGCTCTTTTCTTCCTAGGGGAGGACATCCACTCCAACCAGGCATGATGCCAGAGTCCTATCCACCGAACACAGACACAGGGAGTCTCAGATACTGACTCAGAAAATTAAAACTGAATGCCATTTCCTCCACACCTCACTGCCCACTCCTGACTAATAAGCTGTTTATTGGTTCTCATATTTCTACCCAGAATGAAAAGTGTTTCCACATTCTACTCTGGGGGAGGGGGAAATGGACCCAGCTTTATAGTCTCTCCCTTTGTTGCCCCAGGCCCTTGTCATCTCCTACCAAGGCACACTGTTGAGCTTCCTGTATTCTGGGAATGTAATGAGCAAACATGTGATGACCTCTTGTTGCATAGGATATTGCAGCGCTCATCCATGTCTCAGGCCCCACCCATGTGTAGTCAATTACAAATAAGTCAGATTGGGCAGGGAACAGCCTGTTCTAAGTGACCTTGTCTATGTCTTTTCTCCCCACTACACTTTAGCTACACAGCATCCCAAGACCACTGCTAGGAACTATGGATTTCTCCTGATCCCAGAGTTGTTCATACTTCTGTGTTTAGGATGCTCAGATTTCTATCTCCTTCCCAGTTCTTTCTTCTGAACCCTACCTGCTGGCTGGATATTTCCACTGGGCTCCTGGGTGGGTGTCTCACCGACACTTCAAACTTGTTTACTTGGGGCTGGGTGTGGTGGCTCATGCCTGTAATCCCCGCACTTTGGGAGGCCTAGGCAGGCGGATCACCTGAGGTCAGGATTTCGAGAACAGCCTGGCCAACATGGTGAAACCCCGTCTCTACTAAAAGTACAAAAATTAGCTGGGTGTTGTAGCATGCACCTGTAATCCCAGCTACTCGGGAGGCTGAAGCATAAGAATTGCCTGAACCCCGGATGCAGGGGTTACAGTGGGCCAAGGCCGCACCATTGTACTCCAGCCTGGGCAACAGGGCGAGACTCCATCTCAAAAAAACAAAAAAAAAACTTGTTTACTTGGCAGAAAAAGTATGATTGGCTATGAATTCCCTTACCTTCCTACCACCAAACCTACAACCTTATCTACATCTATATAACTATTCTCCCTCCCACCTGTTAAATTACAATAGTTGCCTCCAACTAAAGCCAGCCCTCCACATGTATTTTGGAATCTATTTTCTTCCACCTTAGGAATCTCCCAAGATTAAGATCAATTCTTTCTCTACTTCAACTGGATTATCTCCATTGATATTTAAACATGGTTGGTTGGTTCTCATTCTACTCCCCCAATCCCTACTCAATCATCCCATACATCTTTATTTCTTTTCTCCTCTTCAAAGCCAAGCCTTTGGAAAGAGCTGTCTTAAATATCCTTATTTCCTCATCTCAAGTATTTCAGTACTGGTTCCACCACTGTTTGAAACTGCTTTTCTTGATGCCTTCAATAACCATCACTGTTAACTATCCTCTCCATGGAAAGCTCCTTCATGGAGTCTTATTACAACTCATTAATCTAATATTCTTCTGACATCTGACTGTTCTTTTACATCTCCTGGATTCCTTCAATTCTCACTTAACGCCATTTTACCTGGCAGTTTTATCCACAGTCATGAATCCACCCACCATCTCTAGGCCAATTACATCTGTTTATTTCACTTGCCCAGACCTCTATTGGAAGCTACTTCATACTTAGCTTATGGAATGCAGCACTGAACTACTTAGCCCTGGTTCTCTTCCTTGTTTCTTATTTCGGTGAATGGAAATACAATTCATCTGGTTATATAAGTCAGAAATGTAGTCAGTCATTCATATCTAAAGTCCTTCACCAAGTATCAATCAAAACACCACTTCTAAGTTCACTGCTTCACTACCATCTGCATCCTTCATCCTGGAAGGCCCCCCTTCTTCTTGTCCCCCTCAAATCCATTCTGATTATAGCAACCAGGCATCTTTTCAAAATACAAATCGGAACCTGTGGCAAACAATTACTAAGTCTCCATTGATCTTAGGGTGAATTACAAAATTAGATGGTCTGGCTTCTCCCTCATCTGGGATCTCATTCCCCACCTTCAACTTCTTTTCACTGGCTCTACCCCCTCAGCTAGTGCCAGTAACTCAGGACTTCTTCCTCATCCTGCGTATGTTCCCTGGACAGTCCTCATCTCTTGTGGCTTTCATTGCCTTCTACTGCCTGATGGCTCCCAAATCTAGATGTCCAGCTTCCTACCCTTTCCTTCCTTACCTCCTCACTGTTGCTGTTCTAGTTCACACCGCACTACCTCATTCTCTGTGGTACCCTCACTCCACTCCAGCCTCTCTATACTGCAGCCAGAGTGATCTTCCTAAAACAGAAGATAATACCACTTCCCTGAAGTTACCTTTCAGGAACTCTTCACTACCCCCACCAGTTTCTCAAAGGGAACACTACTGACACTTGGGGCAATTGCCCGATGTGGTATAGGATGTTTAGCATCTCTGTGCTTCCTCTTCCCATCCCCATTTCCAACCCTCTAGGAGGGCAGTTCCCAACATCCTTTTCACCTGTGGTGTGCTGCTCCTGACCAGATCCCTATATGCACGGGGCACTTGCTCCCTCAGCCATGCCCCTGCCATCCTCCAGCTCACAACCTGTAATCTGTCTGCCAAGGCCCCGGTACATTAGCCCAGAGTCTACTGTGAATGAATGAAGTGAAGAGAGGACTAGAAGGCTGAGGGGCCAAATATCTGCACAAATGGGCTCTGCCACTGTGGATACAGTGTGCCCTCTGGTGGCCACCGCCTTCCCAGGCAATGAGCCTCCTAACACTTCTTCAGACCTAGGCACTGGATTGTGGGACGATCAGTGCAACCAGTGCAAGACAGTTTCTCAAGTCTTCCACCACTATGGAGACAAAGCCTTGGTACTCTGCCAAGCCCCACTGCCTGCCCTGTGATGCCACCTCCTGACTCCCCTGGCTCTGGTCCCACTTATTTCCTCCCCCTTCCTCCCGCACTACCCATCAAATGAAGTTTTACTCAATGAGGGCTGCGCACACGATGTCCATCCACCTGCAGTGCTGAGGCCTCTACCTGCAACAGCCCAGGAAGAGCTCACTGGCTACAATCATGAAGGTTTGCTTACTAAATATGACTGGCAGCTTTGTCTTCATCTCACCCTCACCTCGGCATTTATCAAGTAACTTCTCCGTCCATTTTAAAAACTCTTTCCTCCTGTGGACTTTATGACTCTTGGGCTGTTCTGTCTTCTATCTCAAACACACCCAAAGTTAAACTGCCTCCTCTCACTTCTTCCCCTCCTCATTTCCTGGCTGAGGCAATCCAAGTTAGGAGACACATGTGAGTTCTGGAGTCCAAGGGAAACCTAGGTTCTAACCCCAGTTCTACCCAAGCTGTATTACCATGGCCATCAAAGCCTGAGTGCCCTTATCTATAAAGAAGGAATTTTAGTTGCTACATGGTATTTTCTGGTTCCCCATCACCTTCACAAAGTCATCTCCTGGAAGACCATTAGACATGGCCCTTGCCTCACTTGCCAGACCCATCTCTACTTTGAATTATCTTTGGTTCCTTGAATATACCAGGTATACTGTATGTGCTAAATGTTGCCTGGACAGCCTTTGTTAAACCAGCCTCCACCCTTGCCACACCCAGCAACTACTACGTATCATCTGTTCTTCATGTTTGAGCTCAAATGTCACAGCCTTTGGGAAGTCAAGCTGGGTTAGGTGGCCCTCCCCTGATGGTGGAAACTGTTTTATTCCCAGCAGCAACACAGGACCTAGTTACATGTGGGTTGACCGAAGGAAAACAAGCAAGCAAAAGACATAACGATGGTTTCCAGGAGTATATATTACACAGGTCTGAGTGCAAGAAATGGGAAACAACTGCTATGTTTGCTTTAAAAGCTCATCTGGAACCAATGCCAAATCCCGATGCTTTTGATGGCCCCCTGGTTCTTGGCCCCTCCAGAGGAGGCTGGACTCAGACTCCTGGGTGAGGGGGCAGCCTTGGCATGGAACGTCCTGCCTTCTGTCACCTGAGGCATCAGGCACTTGGGTGATGCTCAGGGCTGGATCCTCTTTCACTGCTTGTGCACACTCAGACTCCCATAGCCAGCCCTGGCTGGGATCCTCACAAGGTGGACGGGCACTGGGTGGCTGTGTCTTCCCCTGCTCCCTGGGAGACAGGTTCTTAGGGTGGGCTGGAGTTGTGGTTTCCAAATCCTGGAGGTTGACTAGCCCACCTGCCATGGTTGCCTTTCTGCTTGGGGATGCCCTGTCTGGGCCCTCAATATGGAATTTCCAGGACCACATGCCCAGCTTCCCAGAGGTGGAACTGGGAGGAGAGCAACTGCTGGTGGGGGTGAGTCCTGAAGTGCTGGAAGAAAGTGCTGCTAGTGCCTGGGTGTGGAGGTGCTGAGCCTTCCAGCAACCTTCAGAAGGGATGGGGTCTGTGGCTCCAGACCTACCCAGGTTGGGGCCTGGTGAGGAGGAGCTGGCAGCCTCCTCAACGGCTTGTGGGCTCCCAAGCCTCCTGTGGGGACCACTGGGACTTTCCATTCTGGGAGGCCCCAGTGTGATCCCTGTCAATAGGCTTGGGACCACCGGGCCCGGGCTCCTAGGGTCTCTGGATGGGAAAGTTTCCTCTTCCCCACTCTCTCCTGTTCCTTTGGGGGCCACACTCTGGCTCACTGCTGGGTGAGGTGCCAGGCTCAGCTCCTGCGCACCCTGGCTGTTCTCAGGCCCCTCCTCGGTGTCGTCCTCTGAGGAGTCCACCTCACGAATGGCTTCTTGCTTCTGCAGTGACTCCCGTCGTTCAGCTCGGTCCTGCCGGAGGGTGCCTAGGGCCCGTGAGGGAGCAGGCTGCAGCACCCCCTTCCCTGGCAGGGCCCCCTTGCCAGACAGCACACCCCTGGCTCCAACTACCTCCAGAGGGCTCACTTCCCTGGGCGGCAGTTCCTTCTTTAGCTCAGAGTGGGGCAGGTCAAGGCTGTGCTTGCGAGAAGTGGCTAGCTTCTTCTCAGAAGCGGCAAGTGCTGCTGCCAGTTTCTCAGCTGACTGCACCCTCTTGAGTAGTGGTGAACGGGGTGGCTCCGCACTCTTGGGCCGCGAGAGTTGTCTGCCCAGGGGAGGTGACAAGTGAAGCTTTGTGGGAAAGGCCTGGGCTACATGGCCAGACAGGGGTGATGGGGACCGCTGAGGTGAAGCTGCTGGGGGTGGGGGAGAAGGGGTGTGGGCCAGTGGTGACAGTGGGATGCTGCCTGCTGACTTGCGCCGTGGAGAGCGGTACTGGCGTTGGAGCTTGGGTGCCAGACCGTGGAGGGAGCTGGGCCGTGTGTGCCCAGAGCCGGCTGGGGAACTGGGCACGCTGGAGCTGGGGGAGCTGCTCTGTGATGAATTCCCTCCCACTTTGTACAGAGACAGACAGACAGACAAAAGCAGAGCAGTGTTAGCTGTTAGAAGTGACGAAGGGCAAGACAGGGCTTAGCCCTGTTATGTCCCAGAAACCAAGCTACCCCCTTCCCCATCAATTAATTCCTCCCCAAGACTACAGGATCTTCCAGGGGGCGGCTGAATGAGAGATTCAGAGCGGGTCTGTGACAAGCACACAGGGTCTAGGAACTCTCCTATTTCCCAGGGGTTGTTTCTGACAGTTTTCTGTCAGGGAGCCCTTCGTACCTGAATGCACAGCATCGGGGGTCACCCGGTAGCCTTGAGTGGGAGATCGGGGGGAAAGGCTGTGGCTGTGTGTGGGAGAGCCTGGCCCACTCTCCCCTGATGACAAGGAGCGGTTAAGGGAAGAAAGGCTGCGGCTGGTGTGGAGCAGGGATACTTGCTTAGCGATCTTGCGGAACAGGGAGCTCCTTTTTCTGCTGTGGAGATAAGGGTCAAAGGCTGAGTCAATGCAGAGAGCACAGCACACCCTGGGCCCAGGGCCAAGGCACCCGGCATGTACCAGCACTCATGTGGCTCAGAGAAAACCCTCTGGACTGCACCTGGCTCACCTTTCTTGCCCATCCTTGCCGCGGCCCCTCTTGCTCCTTCGGGCCATCTTGGCCTTGTAGCTGCCCTTCCGCGCTGGCCCCACTTTAATGGATGTGTTCTCCAGGGGAGTTGTTGAAATGGCCACCTTGTTTCCACTCTGGGGAGCAGAGCATGAGGCCTAGGCTAAGCTGGAGCCATATGCTTCCCTCCTGGCATGGCTATACCACAGCATCAGCTTTTGCCCCTGCACCAACACATCTGAACCACGGGCCTGTATTATTCTGTCTTCACAGATGAGGAAATGTCTCCCATTGGAGCCCCAGAGTAGTCTGGGGTAAGAAGGTAGAGAACAGGCTAACCCGTCCCATTCTGCAGCCCTACCCACAGCTCAGAAGGATCCCTGGGCCTTAGTCAGGGAGGGTGCCGCCTTGTGGAGAAAACTCTCTGTTGTGCCACATTCAAGTTCTGTGTGTACCTACATCTTTTTTTTTTTTTTTTTTTTTAAGACAGAGTCTCACTCTGTCACTCAGACTGGAGTGCAGTGGTGTAATCTCAGCTCACTGCAACCTCTGCCTCCTGGGTTCAAGCGATTCTCCTGCCTCAGCCTCCCGAGTAGCTGGGATGACAAGTGCCTACCACCACACTTGGCTAATTTTTGTATTTTTTAGTAGAGATAGAGTTTTGCCATGTTGGGCAGGCTGGTCTCAAACTCCTGACCACAGGTGATCTACCCACCTCGGCCTCCCAAAGTGCGGGGATTACAGACGTGAGCTACCGTGCCCAGCCATTTTTTTTTTTTTTTTTTTTTTTGTATTTTTAGTATAGGCAGGGTTTCACCACGTTGGCCAGGCTGGTCTCGAACTTCTGGTCTCAAGTGATTCACCTGCCTCAGCCTCCCAAAGTGTTGGGATCACAGGCAGGAGCCACCGCGCCCGGGCTGTGTGTACCTACATCCATACTCGGTGTAGGTGTGTGTGCACCCAACTCACCCACTCCCCTAACTGCCATCACAGACTCACAGGCCAAGGTCATTCAGGGACCATGCGGGCAGCACGCCCTGCACTAACCTTCAGGATCAGCTCCACCACCTCCGTGTGCACCAGCCCATGCACAGGTTCCCCATTGACATGGGTGATGAGGTCACCTTGACGAAGCCCTGCCTCGCTGGCCGGACCTCCGTCCTCCACGTGCTACCCCAGGAAGAGAATAGTACTCAGACTGGAGCCTGAACACGAAGTATGGCGCTTGGTTCTGCACATTAAGCTGTGAGCCCCTTCACCACCACCCTTTGACCCCCGAGCAGGGACAGATGGGCTCCACAAAGGGGAAGCCGGAAGGATGATGAAGCTGGGAGACAGCAGGTCTGGATGGTCAGACATACCCACACCATGTGGTGCACGGTGTAGACGTCGGAGTCACCCATGTAGACGCGAATGGCCCGCAGGGTGAAGCCATACTTCTTGCCAGCTCGGTGGATGATGATGGGAGGCCTCACGCTGCCAAGGGCTGGCAAGAAGTCCCTGCTTGGAGAAGAGTCCCGGGATGATGGGTTGGACGACTGAGAATGTGGGGACATGGGGCTGGCCAGCGGGGAGCAGGTGTGGTGTTCTAGAGAAGGAGAAGCCAGGACTTAGTGGGTCAGAGGGCCTTGGCCTGGCCCACGGTCCAGTCTGTTGATTTCAGCACAACTCTAGTCACAGAGCCTGAGCCCAGGTCCATGTTCTCCACAGCCCCTGACCTGTGAAGCCCTCTCCTGTGCCCAGACCCCAAGAGACGGTGGTGGTGATGAGAAATGGCAGCTAGCATTATGTATCAGGGACTATGTAAGCTTATCATACATATTTAAATGTCACAATTAACTGATGAGCTGGCCACTATTATATCCACATTTCTGGATGAGAAACTTGAGGCTTAGAGGAGTTAAGCAACTTGCTCAAGGTCAAAAGCCTGTTAGTGATGGAGCCAGGATTTAAGTGTGAGCTCTCTGCCCCAAAGCCTGCACTTGTGACATGGTGCTGTCCTGCCTTCTGGCACATGTATATATACACAACCCCAGACACCAATACACACCGTCAGAGACCACAGTCTCTGAGATCCCTGCTTAACACATATACACCTGCCATGTGCAGAACCTTGCCAAGGCCTAGAGATTCTAAGGCCCTTCCTATGAGTTTTATCCCAGCTCCCCAGGGGCCTCACCCGAAGGAATGAGGAGTGAGAGGGCTGTGGCTGAGGCGGACTTGATCACTTTGTTGACAGGGCGAGTCGTGCGCTTCTCTGTTGAGTCCCCAGAGAGCAGCCGGTGGCGGGCTCTACGCACAGCCAGGTCACTGATGGCCTTGGCTGTGGCTCCCTCAGTCAGCTGTGGGGTCCCACGGCCTCTGGTCTCCATAGCTGTAGGCCCAAGGGAGCAGTGAGACCGCGATGCTGCTGAGCTTCCCCGCCCTGCAGTATCCTCCAGCTTAGGGCCTTTGGCCACCCACTGGGCCATACCTGGACTGGAACCACTGCTCCGGCCAACAGCTTCCTCATCCAGCTTTGGCCGCTGCTCCCCTGAGCGTTCAGCAACAGGCCCAGAGGCCCCCTCTCCAGAGGGGGGAGTCAGGACCCATATCCCCTCCTGCGGTTGCCTCCTGAGGGCACTGCTGGCCTCCTCAGGGCCCTCGGGGAACCGAGGCGCATCCAGGAGGCCTGAGCAGCGGCGTCGCACTGTCATGGGAGGGCTGGAGTCACTCTCTGTGTGGGACGACTCAGACACCGACAGCCGCTTCCGTAATCTATGAGACACAAGGCCTGGGGTGAGATGGCCCAGGTGGTCCACCTCCTCCTGCGAGGTCTCCTCAGGGGCACACAAGGGTTATAGTAACAGAATTTTCCTCCGCAGACATTCCTCTAGGAGTCACCCTTGTGAATGCCCCCTCACTGCCACCTGCACTCCTCCGCGGCATCGGAATCTCTCCCATGATCTGTGACAAAGCAGGGATAGCTGTGTCGCCCACCCTGGGTGAACTCTGGGGTGCTCACATCTCAGGGGAGCCAATCACCCAGCTCCGGTCTCGGCCTTTGAGCCCTGCCAGGCCATCTGAGCGGTCCTCCTTCTCCTCACTCAGGCTGCGCTTGGTGGGGGGTGGTGTCCGGCGCTCCTCGAGCAGTGAGAGCCGCTCCATGCTGCTGTACACCTGTGGGCACAGGGGATGTGCTGGGGATGGGCTGTGGCAGCCGTATCTCCCAAGTGGCATAAAGCATCGGAAACCTAGGAATTTCAACCAGTCGGCTCCTTCCCTCCTCCACACACCCCTGAATATTTGGGGAAGCGGTTATTCCACGGATCTGACCTGGTATCTCATGTCAGGGACTACAGTGGTTCTAGAAGCACCTATATATAGCTATATGTAGCCCCAGCCCTCAGCTCCTCTTTCTCTAGAGGCGGCTCCAACCCCAACTCCCTGAGCCTGCCCAGGTGTGCCCTTTGACAGGCCCTCTTCTTCTGATCCTCCAGCCTGTTCTGCCCATCCTGGGCCTCCTCAGTCACACCTTGCTGAACCTTGGAGAGCAGGAAGAGAACTGGCGGATCTCAAGGCAGCCATCTTCACTCACTTCTTCCTCATCCTCCGAGTCCATGTGGTGGTATCGCTCTGAGCGGGCTGGGCCAGACATAAAGGACACTTTCCTTCAGAGCCCTGCTGGTGGCCTCCTTGTGACCCCATTAGATTTCAGCAGAGCCCTGAGAAGTTGCTCCCAATGCCAAGTTCAGTGTGCACAGGTGTTTCTAGGCAAACAGGTAGGACCCATACTCCACTCCACACATTGGCGGCCTTACTGTCAAAATAGCTAGTATCGTCCTCTGACTCCAGCTGAGGAATAAATTCAGCTTTCTGGCGGAGAAGTCCTGTCCAGTCCAGACCAGTAAAGAATGGGTGCTGCTTCACCTCATAGGCACTGCCTGTGGAAAGGGAGGGCATGGGCGAGGGGGAAGGATGAGCCGCATGGAGTCCAGGTCAGCAAACCTCGTAAGAAGCCAGACCTTGAGAAGCTATACTCATGGGGTCAGCTCAAGCATCTTCCCTTCCCTGCCTACAGGGAGCAGGGCAGAGTTTCAGGATCCAGAGGGGCTGCCCGTAACTGAAGCCTGAACCTCCAGGGTACACGGACTCAGCCTCCCTTACCCCTTTTCTAAGTAGTGGGAAAAGTTAGCAGGGCCTGCCCTACCTGTGCCCAGTCTCTCCAGAGGGTTCTGGTGGAGCAGTTTGGAGGTGAGGTCCTGGGCGTCTGGGGGCAGTGCATCATCACCCTCAGGCCACACAATCTCATCTGAAGTCATCAGGGGTGAGAGGGAGAGGAGAAATTGTGGGTAGAGTGGAGAGATGTAGAAGAGGGTCCCAGGACAATGTAAGGAAAGGAGTCAAAAAGGACCCAGCCCGGAGTCCCGGAATGCCTTGCCTGGGACCCCAGTCTTTAATTTTTTTAGGTTCCTAGACCATGGCTTGATCTTTGATCCATGGTGGGCACTGCAAAGCTCTAGCTCACCCTGCTTTTATACTCCACAAAACATACACAGACATACCCCTCACACTTATGGGATGTGCACATACACAGACAGGAACACACAGGTATATATGGGAGACACGTGAGGCCCTAGGGGACACAGTGTCCACATGTATGTACATGCAGAAACACAGAGACACCCACCCCCAAAGCAGCAGACATCACAAACACATGGTGAGTTCAGAACAAGAGCTCACAGGCCTCATGAGCTGCCTGCATACATCATAGTTGTGAATCCAGACTGTATCCCCACTGGGCCAGCAGGATAGTACCTACCACTGATCACTTGGCCAAAGAGCTCCTCCGGAGTGTCTCCAAAAAAAGGGACGCAGCCCACCAGGAACTCATACAGGATAATGCCCATGGCCCACCAGTCCACCGGCTTCCCATAGCCCTGGCGCAGGATCACCTCAGGCGCAATGTATTCTGGGGTCCCGCATACCTGGGCACAGAAAAGCCAGGCTGGCTCAGCCTCCTGAGGCTGCTCACTGGCATGACAGCGGGAGACGCGGGATGCTCCCACCTCGAACAGAAGAGTCTCTGAATGAAGACTCAGCCCACCTTAGTTAATGAACAAAATCAACAGAAGCCCCAGGGAACAAGAGTCGGAACTGTCAGCAGGTATTGCTAATTAACAAAACTGTCTCATTCTAGCCCAGAACTACCATCCCTTAAGCCCTCAACACCCACCTCTGGCATCTGATCCCACAATTGGCCTCTGCACTCCAGCCTCTAACGGAACAGACCCTACCGGTTACCTAACTACTACAGGGACTGGTGAATAGTCACAACCTGAAATGTCAAACCAGGGAACATCCAGAGGCTGCCTCTCAGGACACTGGGCCACAGCCCAATGGAAATTCAAACCTGTGTTCCAAGAACCTCAGGCTCCAGGAGAGCCTTGTCCTTGACTCAGGCTGGGAGATTCGGGACTGACCTCATATGAAACTGTGCTAACAGTTACATGACCTGTTTTCTCCAAACCCTGAGAAGGAAGATGACTTTGGATTTTATATCCATATGATTCTCATGGCTCATCCTGTTTTCCAAATGTGCTACCTATCTCAATGCCTCTCTGGAACCCAAAGGTAGAAAAGATAGGGGTTCCCAATCTTAACATCTAGCTACAAGGTAGACATATGGCCCCAAGGCCTTATTCAAGGGCCTGGAATCTATGTATGTGTATACAAATGTAGAGATGGGCTCTCACTATGTTGCCGAGGCTGGTCTTGAACTCCTGGCCTCCAGCGATCCTTCTGCCTCAGCCTCCCAAAGGGTTGGAATTACGGGCATGAGCCACTGTGCCAGGACAAGGGCCCAGAATCTACCCTCCAATGTATCAACTATCCTTCCTTACCTGCTTGTCCAGGAATTCCCGGGCATCCTTTTCAATGTGACCCTCATACAAGTTCGTTGTCAGACTCATGAGACCAATTTTGGACAGTCCAAAGTCCGTGAGCTTGATGTGCCCCATTGATGTAATTAGGAGGCTGGGAGACCGGAGAAATAAAATTATGAAGTTATTCCTGGTTTTCTGAGAGTACTGATTTTAGTATATGCCCAATTTCCCCAAACAGGCTTCCATGGGGGTACTGTGAGACATAAGCTGGGTAGCTTCAGCAGTGGGGACAGGGAGGTGTGGACACGTAAATCGCTCTGGCTGTGTGAGTGCTGCATTCTGCACAAGCAACGAACCTGCCTTTTGCCCATTCCCACAACTCCATTTCTGTTCACGGCCCTAACTGTATTCTATATTGGGGGCAGGAGTCATTCAGTTGAACAACAGAGTTTCTTCTACAGAGCTGAGATCAGCCTTATTCTAAGGCTGGAGCCATTCCTAGTCCCCTCTCCCGATCTGAGTGGCCCATAATACTTCTGTTTCAGGGAGAGGGGCAGGGGGCACATAATTTTGTTCCATGTCCATGGCTGGTTTTGGGAGGAGGGTTAGTTGGGAGAAACTAGAACTAAGATCCCTTTATATATTCTGCCTGAGTCACTCATTTTGTGCTGAAGGCTTTACCCTGCCACCCTTTTATTCTAATGACTCCCCAAATAGTACCTCTGGCTGTGACTTCCTTTTTGAGCTCCAGGCCCACCCAACTGCCCATATGTCTTACAGGCACCACAAACTCAATCTGTCTAAAACAAAGTCATGCCTCCCAACTGGTTCTCCTCCTCAGTGAAAAACAGTAATTTCGGTTATCTATTGAGCTCTGTGCTAAGTGCTTTAAAAATATTCTGGCCCCTGAAAGGTTTTCTAGAGTAACACATCAAAGGTAGGTGTCATTATTCCCTATTTTAGAAAGCAGGTACGTGAGGGTCAGGGAAATTTTAATTAATAGACTCAAACTCAGACTTAATAAGCAGAAGAGTGGCCATTTGAATTCAGGTCTGTCTTATGTCAAAGCCACTTTCTCCCACAGAGGCTTATCACCCTGCCCCAGTTCCAAGCTGGAAATCTGGAACACACCCCAGCCTCTTCTGTTCCCTTGCTTCCTTTCCTGCCCCACCCCAGCCTGGTCTTCTTTCCTGTTTCCCCACGCTGCCCTCTTCTTTCTACCCTGACCCCCTGCTCTGCTGCAGGCATTGCTGGCTTTGGTCTCAGTGTCTTCTTTTCATCGACAGAGCGAGCTTTCTAAACCTAAACCACAATCTGGGCATGCCACTCTATCATATCCTTGGTTAGCAGACCCTTCCAAGACTCTCCAGGCCCCTTTAAAATAAAACCCAAATGTAACAAAAGGGCCCTTGATGAACCAGTTCCTGCCTCTCTCTCCAGCCTTTTCTCTTACTACTCTCTCACCATCTAAGCTGTCACCACATTGTACTATTTGTAGTTCCTGAACAAGTGCTGTTCTCTCGCACCTGTGTGCCTCTGCACATTCTGCTCTCCTGCTTTAGAAAGCAGGTCTTCCTTTTTCCACTTGACTAATACCCTCTGAGAAGAAGCTCATATATATATATTTCTGTCTCCCACTGTAGACTTAAGTTCTACATGCCAGGGACTATATTTAAAACCCAGAATATAGTGCTTGGCACAGAGTAGATGTCAGTAAATGTCAGTAAACTTGTTTAACCATCTACTAGATGTGCTTATTCTTTTGTTCTTGCTTGGTTTCTTCAGTGGGGCTCCTCAATGACTCTTTTTTTTTTTTTTTTGGAGACGGAGTCTCACTCTGTCACCCAGACTGGAGTGCAGAGGTGTGATCTTGGCTCACTGCAAGCTCCACCTCCCGGGTTCACGCCATTCTCTGGCCTCAGCATCCCCAGTAGCTGGGACTACAGGCACCCGCCACCATGCCTGGCTAATTTTTTTTTTGTATTTTTCAGAGAGACAGGGTTTTACCATGTTAGCCAGGATGGTCTCAATCTCCTGACTTCGTGATCCACCTGCCTCAGCCTCCCAAAGTGCTGGGATTACAGGCGTGAGCCACCGTGCCTGGCCTCTCAATGACTCTTTCATGTCACCAAAGCCTTATAATATTCCAGCCAGACCTTGAGGCAATGATCTGCACCTGGGGTGGTCGGGGGGCTAGAGAACTAGGCCTAGACGGACACACACAGGAGCGTGTTTTCCCAGTAGCCATCTGGATAGACTTAGAGCTACTGTGCTTGCCAACATTTTATCTAGAGACCCAAGAGGGAGACCCTGGACAAGGGACACAGATTGTGGACATACTTGTCAGGCTTGAGGTCACGGTGCACGATGCCATAGTTGTGTAAGTACTCCAGGGCCAGCACAGTTTCCGCAAAGTATAGACGCACCATGTCCACAGGCAGGGCCCCAATATTCTTCAGCAGAGTGGCACAGTCTCCCCCTGCAACAAGCCCAGGCTACCATGAGGAAAGGATCCAGTTCCCTGCTCTAGCCAGCTCCCATCTGGCAGTTTCTGAGGTCCCAGAGGAGACAGCTTCATGGAATATCCTGGTGCTGGAGACTCTGATTCTAGCCCCTTTGCTGCTGGCATGGGTGGGAGACACGGTGATATGGTTTGGCTGTGTCCCCACCCACAGCTCATCTTGAATTGTAGCTCCCATAATTCCCATGTGTTGTGGGAAGGGACCTGGAGGGAGATAACTGAATCATGGGAGTGGGTCTTTCCCATGCTATTCTCGTGATAGTGAATAAGTCTCATGAGATCTGATGGTTATTTTTATTTATTTATTTTTTTGAGGCAGAGTCTTGCTCTGTCGCCCAGGGTAGAGTGCAGTGGTGTGATCTCAGCTCACCGCAACCTCCGCCTCCCAGGTTCAAGCGATTCTCCTGCCTCAGCCTCCCGAGTAGCTGGGATCACAGGCGTGTGCCACCACACCCAGTTAATTTTTTTGCATTTTTTTGTAGAGATAGGGTTTCGCCATGTTGGTCAGGTTGGTCTTGAATTCCTGACCTCAGGTGATCTGCCTGGCTCAGCCTCCCAAAGTGCTGGGATTACAGGTATGAGCCACCATGCCTGGCTGAGCTAATGGTTTTATAAAGGGGAGTTTCCCCGCACAAGCTCTCTCTTGTCTGCCGCTATGTGAGACATGCCTTTCACCTTCTGCCATGATTGTGAGGCCTCCTCAACCACATGGAACTACAAGTCCATTAAACCTCTTTCTTTTGTAAATTGTACAGTCTCTGGTATGCCTTTATTAGCAGCATGAAAAGGGACTAATACACAGGGTATGGAGCGGGGCGCAAAGTAAAGTGAATCTGCTGATAGCTGTCATGGACATTTTTCAGGCCAGAGAGGGAAGGAACCCAGATTTTTATTAAAAGTAATGGCAAAAATGCCATTACTTTTGTACCAGCCTAACATTTTAGGACAGGAATACTGCATAGTGTAAACACATCTGGCTGAGACATTAGCATTTGTTCATGTTACTTCCTTCTTACTGGCTTTTAGTTTCTGGGTAGAGTAACACTGTGAACTCCCAGCATGTACCCAGTAAACACTAAAGGACATTTTTTTTCAGCTTCAGCTTCAAGACTAGGCACAATATCTTCGGAGGCTGTACACATAGTGAGAATGTGAGAGGGAAGGCCACTGGCAAAGCTGCTGCCTCTCTCCAGAACTATGCCCCGTGTTGCTCTTCTGTTCTACTCACAGAGCATTTTGCATGGTTTTAAGGGGTGTCCCCTTTGCAAGCCAGTCAGGGTAATTAATGGCTTTCCTTTCTTCTGAGGGTTCAGATGCAATCCTCTGAACACCCAATCTTGGGCTTTTGCAGCTCTGCTGCCTCCTCTGTTGCTGTCTGATACCAGCAGTAGAGAGAGTGCAGGCTTTGGGGTGCAGGATTCTACAGCTGCTGGCCTGCTACTTCCTATCCCAGAGTGCCTCTCATGGCAGAGGCAGGCAGCTTTGTGCCCACCGTGGCCAAATGGTCTCTGTGATCCTGAGGCAGAAACCAATGCCAAAGGTGGACTGGAAAGCTGGGCCCTGAAACTTCAACTCTGTAAAAAAGCTGCTGGTCCCTGTTTAAGGCTCAGATTGTGCCTTGGCCTCCATGCCAGGCCACCTTTGCCTCAGTACCTTCAACATACTCCATCACCATGCACAAGTGGCGCTTGGTCTCAAAGGAGCAGAACATGCTGACCACAAAGGGGTTCTCAGCGAAAGTCAGTATGTCACGCTCCACGAAGGCCTGCTGGATCTGGTTCCGTAGGATCAGGTTCTGCTTGTTGATCTTCTTCATGGCAAAGCGCTGCCGGGTGGACTTGTGCCGCACCAGGAATACAGCCCTGGGAAACACAGTCCAGCCCATCCCCCATGGACCCTCAGCACCAGAGCTGTGCTCTCTGCCACCCAAACTGCCTTCTCTCACACCTTAATGAATGCACAGAACAAGGGGGCAGGGCATGCATACCAATGAGAAGGATCTGGGACCCCCTAGCCCATAGAACTCTTAAACTTCCTGACAGACCATGTCCTGATGACACGGCTCAATGCTTCCCCAGAGCTCAGGGAGAGGAGGATGCGTGGTAACAAGAGGTGTGGGAATCTTGTCTAGGAAAGGAACAATGATCGATGTCAGAGGAATCTGAACTCCTGCCCACCCAGGAGGCTTCTGGGAGTGAGAAGGTCCACCCTGAGGCATCTGCCCAGAGGACTGGGCAGCATACACTCTCACATGGAAGAGATCAAAGGCTGACCTGGCTTCAGTCCTGGCCACACCCTGACCCCTGCCTTTACCCATAGGCGCCATTGCTGATGAGCTTAATGGTCTCGAAGTCCTCTTCAGAGGGTGTCTTTTTAGATGGCAGAGATGCCCCACGGCCCTGGAAGACAAGGGGAAAGGCAGGAGACAGGCATGCTTCTCAGAGTCCATATCCTTGCAGAAGCTGTGGCTCTAGCGTTCTCAGCTCTTAGCTCTAGCGCAGTCCCCTGCCCATTCTTCTGGGAGTAGAATGACTTCTCAGTGTTTGCTGTCACCAATTCCCCCATCCCTTCTTCAGATAGTCTCTTAAAGAGAACTCACAGCTCTTTGCTTCGTAGGGCCCAGGCTCCAGGAATGGGGCAGGAGCTCAGGGTTTTTACCTCAATAGAATCATCTGTCTCTGGAGTGTCAGGACTGTCACAGCTGCTCAACTGGGCCATTTCTGGAAACAAAACAAAGACACAGGAGAAGAGTACGTGGCAATGTCAGGTATCTCAGCAGTATCCTCAGATCACACAACAGGTGCATGTAGGGTAGGCATTAATGCTTTTTGCATCAGCCTAGGACGTGAATTCAGTCCCATGGCACTATACCCAATGTAGTCCCAGCTTTTGGACCAGGAAACAAGCCAAATCCTACTGCTACTCCCATTTCCAGAAGTCCATTGCCATTCACAGGGCCTGGCAAATTCTATAAACTTGGGAAATTTCCTGGAAAACAGGACCTGAAACTGGGTTACTAGTTCCCATCCTGCTGGCCAAGACTGCTTCACTGGATGGGGCTGGGAAGCACAGAAGGCAGGAGCAGGATACCTACAGACCAGGGACTTGGAGGCCCATGGTTGCTGCAGGGGTTCAGCAGAAGCCCAGAGGAATGGCGGTATCCTCTGAAGCCCTGTGCTGGACCACCCTAAAGACACAGGAAGACCTGTAAGGTGGCCAAGAGGAGAGGCAAGGTGCAGAGGAGGTGACCATTTTTGCAAATGTGATTGTGGCTCTTTGTTGTTGACCTCTTTGGAACTGAGGTTCTAAATGCAACTCAGCCAGGCCGATGCAATCCAGGCTGGGATCTACCAGGCAGATGTGAACAGCAGTTCCAAAGGAAAGACTGTTTTGTCACAGAGATCACAGTGTATATCCTAAATTCCTGAAGCCCCTGGGGCCATGCTGTGTCCACGTCCAAGCTAAGTCTCTTCTCCAAGCAGCTTCCCTGCTGTTAAAGCTTGCCAGCAGTGGTGGGGCCTCTCTGCAGCCACCAGGCAGTATGCTCACCCTCTAGGGGATCCCGTGTGAGGCCCAGCTGGCTAACGATGTAGCGGGGAATGTCACATTTAATCCCTTGTCCCTCTTTGGCGTGGCCCTCAGCTGCTTCTAATAGGTGGTAGAACTCTTCAGGGTCAAACTCCTGTACCAAGGGAGAGAGGCAGTCAGTGGTGACAGATAGAAGCAAAAGCTGCTGGCCTCTTTGGTTTTAGAGCATATAGTAGACTGAGATGAACAAGACTTTCTTTGTGACAGGACATTCCCACCCCTCAATATTCAGAAATAACACGATTCAGGGATCACAGGAATGGGGATGAAGATGTCTTACAGGTCACCTCCAGATTGGACATACTCAGCATATGGTATCTTCCTGGCAATAAGAACTAGAGGTTTTACTCTAAAGAGAGCTCAGCCTACTGATCTGGTCCCATGCCTTACATCAGCCAGTTGGCACTATCTGGTGTATTCAGATGCCCAGTCCACAGCAGTCCTGGCACACACTCAATTATGACTCATAAGAGCTTTGGCACAGCCCTACTGGTGCATGCATACCTTCAAATATTTACTGGGCACCTCCTGTGCGCTAGAGGCTGGAGATCCATTGAAAAGCACAGTCCTTGTCTGCACATAATAACTGAGTGCCTACTAAGTGCCACACACTGGGTTAAACCTTCTAGCAACTCTTTGACCTCACTGAGGAAATCAAGGCTCGCAGGGATGCACTGATTTGTCCATAATCACGGAGGCAGGAAGGAACAGAAAACCAGCATTCAGCCCAGGTCTGACTCCAAGCCCCTGCTTAGCCAAGGACTTCGTGTTCTTGAGGGAGAGGCTTTCTGCTCTATCACAGCACTAGCCTCTGCTCTGAACTTTGTTCTCATTCCCTGTGGTCTCACTGTTTTGGAGAACTGTACTTATCTGGATATAACCTAAGCCAGACCTGGAAGCCCTTTTAACTTCTTATTCTTCCTTAGCTCCTATTTGGTCAGAATGTCTCTCTCATAAATACCCCTCTAATCCACCTCTTTCTCTCTGTTATCCTACCATTCATTGTCTGAGTTCTGGCCACCCCATCTCACATGAATTGCTTTGAGTACCTCTGCCCTGATGTCCCTGGCTCATCCTGCCCTCTCTTCCAATTCACTATCCATGTTGCAGCCAAAGTAATCTTTCTTAGGACTAAATCTGATATAATATTTACATAGAAATAAATAGGAACCAATTACTGATACATGCAACAACATGCATGAATTTCTACAAACATGCTGAGTGAAAAGAAGTCAGAACATACTACAGAAACCACACAGAAACATGGTTTCATTTCTAGGAAACTGTACAAAAGGCAAACCCATCCCTAGTGAAACAAAGCAGGTAAGTTATTGTCTGGGAGCAGGAGGAAGAGGGGACTGACTCCAAAGGGGCACAAGGGAACTTATCTGATAGAAATATTCTCTATGTCAGCTGTGGCCATGATTCTACAAGTGTATATTTGTTAAATCTCAATGAACTGTACCATCAAAGGGATATATTTTATTGTATAAAAATTATACCTTAATAATACTGTTTAAGAAAAAAGTAAATGTGGCCATGTCACATTCTTACCTAAACTTCCTGGTGCCTCCAAGTGGCTGTAAGGGTAATGCAAAACTCCAGAGCCGAGAACCCGACACCCTCTGTGACCCTGTCACAGTCCTACCTTCCAGGCTTACCTCTCAGCACTTCTTCAAACCCACCCTGTGCTGCACTGAATGCCCCTTCCCATGCTCCCTATCTGGGAAACAGACTCATCCTTCAGTTTGCTGAATAAGCCTCATGTCCCCCAGGGAGCATTCACTGAATGTTCCTTCCAGGAAGACTAAAGCACTTCCTTTTCCAGGTTCCCACTGCATTGCGTACTGACCTCAACTGCAACACTTCTTGCAGTACTGTAATTACTATTTACATGTCCTCATGCCTCATGCTTCCCAACTCCACTGGAGAGGAAACATCCCAAGATCAGAGACTGTGCTTTATTCATGTCTGTATCTCCAGTGTCTAGCACGAAGTAGGTACTCAGTCAAGTTTGCTGAAAATTAAATGAAGGACTCAACTTGTGCAAACTAAACTGGGCTATGCTCCTGACGCTCCTCAACCCCAAGGCCCCCACTGAGGTGAGCCCTGATCATGTGAGGGTGGGCTAGACTAATACTTCTCCCTGCCACATCCCCTCAGGACCATACACTTGTCCTCACAAAAATCTGTTTAGTCTCCCACTGGTGGCAAATCATATTTAAATAAGGACCTAAGCGACAGAGATGGCAGTGGTTACCACCACAGTTTTGCTGTCATCAGGATACTTCCTCCATAGCCCTCCTCCAAATCTGCCCACCCGACTTTCCTAGAGTCCACTCACCAGGCATTCCAGGAGACGTGCTGGGCGGGCAATGACAATCATCAGCTTTTTCACCAGCTGCATCACAAAAGCCACTTCCGAGCTCTCTGAGCGCTCATGAGCCTATAGAGAAAAGAAGGGCTGCTTAAGCAATCTATTGGCCCAGTGTGGTTGGGCTAAGCAGGACCAGACTGGGCAGAGCTGAATCCAGGGAGAAACAATTCGGTAGCACAGAGAGCTCCGCCAAGCAAGGAACTCCGAGAAGGCTGGCTGGCTGTGAGAGGGAGCGAGTTGCTCACAGGGAACCATTTGAGCTTTAGAACACTACATGACACCGAGAAATGCCACACAGACATACAGCTGTACCTGCTCCTCCATCCAACAAGCCTCACTTACCCTGCAGACCCCAGCTCAAGGGGCAACTCTCAATGGCGCCTTCACTGATGTTCACTTTCCACTCTAGACTGTAAGGAGTAGAAAGACCTCAAAGCTGAGGGTGATATGACCAGAAAGGTACTTCAGAAGGATCACTCTGGCTGCAGTATAGAGGGTACACTAAAGAGGGCAAGCCTAAATGCAGGAAAACCCATTAGCAGGCAACTCTAATAATTCAGATGAAAAAGGCATAGGTCGGCTGGGTGCAGTGGCTCACGCCTGTAATCCCAGCACTTTGGGAGGCCGAGGCAGGCGGATCACGAGGTCAGGAGATCGAGACCATCCTGGCGAACACAGTGCAACCCCGTCTCTACTAAAAATACAAAAAAATTAGCCGGGCGTGGTGGCGGGCGCCTGTAGTCTCAGCTACTTGGGAGGCTGAGGCAGGAGAATGGCATGAACCTGGGGGGCGGAGCTTGCAGTGAGCCGACATGGCGCCCCTGCACTCCAGTCTGGGCGACAGAGCAAGATTCCGTCTCATAAATAAATAAATAAATAAATAAATAAATAAAAGAAAAAGGCATGGGTCAAGGCAGAAGAATGCAGACAAAGGGACAGGTGTGAGCTACTACCAAAGCAGATAAGGGTGAAAGCAGCACAAACAGAAGGCAACTCCAACTTCAATTTTAGGAAAATTTCAATGAATACGTGAAATAGTAACTATAAGAAGCCATTTAGGTGATAGGTAAAGAATGTACTGCATTTGGTTTTAGAGAAGGAACAGCTAGGCAGAAAAGATAAGCTCAGTTCTGGGCGTGTAGAGTTTCAGGCACCTATATGAGAGAGTCTCTTGGGTATCTGCTTGGTCCAGGGGCCTTTCTCTTTTTCCCTGAGAACTGCTCTGGTTTCTAGGAGCCACATTTGTACTGTGTGTCTGCGCCTTCCCTCCCACCTCTAATAGCTGACCAGGGAGGATCACTTTCCTAGGAATTTAAAAAAGGATAGAAAGATAATTGTTAACATCAGTGTGGCAGAAACTGTTTAAGAACTGTGACAAGGGATGGCCGTACCTACCATGGAGACAGAGAAAAGATGCATACAGGAAAAGAAAGAATGAAGACTTCCTGAGCTTCCTGGAGCTTCTGGTTTCTAGTTCTGGTTCCTTTTTAAGGTCTGGTTATATCCCTCGCTTCAATTCTCTAAGACCTACCCCTTTTACTCTTATAATGTTTCCCTTTACTGTTTAAACTATTCTGAGTCAGATTTCTATTACGTGTAACCAAAGAATAAGAACCAATATGGGGAAGTCAAAGTGGAGGAGTCCACCAGGCAGCTGGGTGCACTGATCTGAAGCTCAGGAGAACAGTAAGAGTGGCAGCCACATGTGGAAGTCCTCAGCGTAGCGATGACAACTGAAGACATGGGAGCAGGTGGCAAGACATCAGAGAGAGAGTGGAGGAAGGGGAAAGGGGAAAACAGGCATGCAGGATGGTGCCCTGTGACACACCAGTATGAAGGGGTGGGCAGCAAAGGAACTTGTGAAGAGGCAGCAAGACTGGTGAGAACGGTGAATTGACAACTGGGGAAGGGGGTTCAGGAAGTATCCGCTGTGCTCCACAGGGAGGTGGCAGAAGATGGGAACTGAAAGCAGACACAGGATTTGGCAATTGGCCAGTGAGTTCCTTGGTGAATTTTGCCTGAACAGTTTTGGTAAGGTGGGAAGGGAAACCGGAAGGCAGAAGATTGAGTAGTAAATAGGATACAAGGAAAGAAAAACAGTAAATGAGGACTTTTCTTTTTTTAAAGTATTGGTTATGAAATGAAGAGAAAGGATGAGCGGTTGGTGAAATCCCATTTATTCTTTTAAAACCTGTCTCCTGTTCCCAACACACATATACATACACATGTGAAGAAAAAGAAGTAATTGCTGTCTTTAACATGTTCTCCTGGCTGTTCGTGCATACCACATGGTACTGTCATGCTGTTTCATAACGAGCTATCTGTCTCTACAGCTACACTGCTGGGCCTAGTGAGTAAAGAGGCTCTGTGTCTTTTTCTTTTTCTTTTTTTTTTTTTGAGACAGAGTTTCGTTTTCATTGCCCAGGCTGGAGTGCAATGGCTCGATCTTGGCTCACCGCAACCTCCGCCTCCCAGGTTCAAGCGATTCTCCTGCTTCAGCCTCCCGAGTAGCTGGGATTACAGGCATGTGTCACCATGCCCAGCTAATTTTGTATTTTTAGTAGAGATGGGGTTTCTCCATGTTGGTCAGGCTGGTCTGGAACTCCCGACCTCAGGTGATCTGCCTGCCTCAGTCTCCCAAAGTGCTGGGATTACAGGCGTGAGCCACCGTGCCTGGCCCTTTTTCTTTCCTCAAATGCTAAGCCTAGCAGAGTGCCTCCTAGACAGCAGATGTCAGTCAGTGTTTGTTGACTGTTTGAAAATGTATGCTCTTAGGCTCTGGAATAAGCCAAACCTGGGACTGGGTCCTGGTTTTGCTACTTAAAAATATAAGTTATCTTGAGCTAACTTAGTTTCCTCATCTGTAAATTTAGGAAATAATATTAAGTACCTTCCTTACAGGGTTGTGAAGATTTCATCAGATAAATTAAACGAGGTAATGTAGTGTCTAGCATGTATTAAATGCTCCATAAATGTTACTGATTTTTATTATTCTAAAACCTGACCAGGTCATTTTTCAGTTTGTCACACTGGATGATACCCACTGCCTTCATGATACAATCTAAGCTCCTCACAAGGCCCTTCAGCATCTGGCCCCCAGTCCAACTCTTCAAATTCATCTGCCAGCAGGTCAGGTGCAGTGGCTCACACCTGTAATCCCCGCACTTTGAGAGGCCAAGGCAGGGGGATCACTTGAGATCAGGAGTTTGAGACCAGCCTGGCCAATGTGGTGAAACCCTGTCTCTACTAAAAATACAAAAGTCAGCTGGGCGTGGTGGCAGGCACCTGTAATCTCATCTGCTAGGGAGGCTGAGGCAGGAGAATTGCTTAAACCTGGCAGGTGGAGGTTGCAATGAGCCAAGATCGCGCCACTGCACTACAGGCTGGGTGACAGAGTAAGACTCAATCTCAAAAAAAAAAAAAAAAAAAATCATCTGCCAGCTTTTCCCCTGTGGGTGTCTTTCTTTTCTTTTCTTTCTTTTTTTTTTTGAGATGGAGTTTCGCTCTTGTTGCCCAGGCCAGAGTGCAATGGTGTTATCTTGGTTCACCACAACCTGCACCTCCGGGTTCAAGCAATTCTCCTGCCTCAGCCTCCCTAGTAGCTGGGATTACAGGCATATGCCACCATGCTCAGCTAATTTTGTATTTTTTGTAGAGCCGGGGTTTTCTCCATGTTGGTCAGGCTGGTCTTGAACTCCCGACTTCAGGTGATCCGCCTGCCTTGGCCTACCAAAGTGCTGGGATTACAGCATGGGCCACCATGCCCGGCTCCACTATGAGTGTCTTTTACTGTAGTTATGCAAACTACTTCATCTGCAATTTCTGGAATGTACCAAGTTTCTTTACACCTTTGAGAGGTTACTTATTTATTTATTAAGAGACAGGGTCTCACCCTATCATTCGGGTTGGAGTACAGTGGCACAATAACAGCTCACTGCAGCCTCGACCTCCAGGGCTCAGGCAATCCTCCCACCTCAGCCTCCTGAGTAGCCTGGATTACAGGCACATGCCACCATGGCTGGCTAGTGTAGAGATGGGGTCTCACTTTGTTGCCCAGGCTGGTCTCAAGCTCGTGGGCTCAAGTGATCCTCCCACCCTGGCCTCCCAAAAAGCTGGGATTACAGGCATGAGCCACTGCGCCCAAGTAAGAGGTTGTTTATGCTTTTTCCTAGCTTCAGTGAACTCCTATCTGTTTAAGATTTAGCCTTCCCTGAACTTTCCACAAAGAGTCAGCATATCCTTCTCTGTGCTCAGAACCTACTTATCTCTAGTGCTCATCAATCATATTGTACTGTAGTCAGTGGAAGTGAGAGAATTCATATAAAGTATTCAGTGTAGTAATAGCTGTTACTTTTATTAAGTACATGTTGATGGGTCTGTAACCCCATTGATGGCAAATTCCCTAAGATAGAGCCTGCGCTGAATTCTTTTCTGCATTCCAAAGGCCTCGCAAATTAGGGAACAGATGAACAAACTGGTTCCAAATTCAGTGCTCTTCTTATTGTATCAAACAACCTAACCGCACAAGCAGTCAGTCTGGGAAAATGCCTAAAGGTTTTGAACAAGGCTCTGACTTCAGCATTTTAGAAGATAAATCTTAAACGTACCAGGAAACTTGGAAGTTACTCTACATTAATCCTTTACCGAATGCAGTAATCCCTGATTCCTAAATGTCTCTGGGGTGCCCCTTTCCATTGCTGGAAAACTGTCAGAAAGCTTTTCCTGAACAGAAACAAACATCTACCAGCGATTTTCACGGGACTCTGGCTTTCTAAAGTTATACTTCTACAATGTTTGATTTTAAATATTTATTTTGAAATCAGAAAAAGATATTTTTGTAGAAGAAAGTACTTTTTCACCTATTAAATCAAAATCTTTCTTCCTGTAACTCCTGCCCACTGGACTAATTATGTCTTTCAGGGGTACTGAGAACAATCTGCTCTTTTTTATATATGAGAAACTTTCCACTACTTGACAATAATCATTTCTCTAGATTGAACTGTTCCCTGAAAATGTGTTTAAACTCCCCGCTCCTTCTTACTTCTAGACGAACACACTGATGTCCTTTTGGTCATCAGCCCGGGGCCCTCAGCTCAGTTGGTACTACTCCAGAGAGAGGTCTTGGTCTGGAGGCAATAAGGGGTTCTGGACTGGGCAATTCTCTAGTGACATGATGAGCTCTGGGGAGACAGGCACATCCTCTCTCCCCCAAACCGTATTAATGGGTAACATGGAGCCGCTATGGTCTGAGTGAGATGGCATCTGGCCACCTTAATCAAGAGGCTGATAGCAAAGGAAGCGCTAGTGCAGGAAGCAGTGCTTAAGAACTCTCATGTGCTTTGGTCTTGGCCATCTCTAGCTTACTTTACCTTTAGCCTCCCAGAGATTTTTTCACACCAGGGAGGATCAGGTCTCAAAACATGTAAGTCCTAACTAGAGAACTCTCCATGTAAATGGCTAAACCCATCATGCAAGCCTCATATTTGTTTTCCCTTGGCTGAGGATAAACAGTCTGAAGGCTCTGCTTAAACCAGTATTTCCAGTAGAAGAAAGCCCATCATAGCCACTGGAGCCACTTTTTGGCTTTGGGTAGCAAACCTCCTAGTCAAATACTTATGAGTACTACCCATGGTGGAGCTTCGCGCAGAGTGATACAACTTTGGATTTAGAAAAGGAACACAAGTGAGTTCCTTTGATACCAAGCAGGCTTCTCTCACTATTGCAGGGGACTGAGGAGGAATCTAAGCCCCTCAGCTCTGCCTTTGAGGGTGGGTAAGAAGCAGTCTGTGAAGACTGAGAATACCACTAACGCCCTGATCCTAGCTTGGGATTATGAATCCAATACCAGGTAGAGGTTTTTTCAGAACCCCAGCACAAGGACACTCACATCTTGTACAAGTTTCTCCAAATTCTCTTGAAGTTCATAGAAGTATTGTGATGTAATGAGGCCACTCCGAGATTTATCCAGGCAGTCTCGGGCCATCTCAATCACCTGATGATGAATAAAGCTCAGGGCTCCATCCGCCAAGGGCAGCACGCTGTCTGGGGTATTGGAGGAAATAAACTCTGCTAGTCGTTCTTCCATTTGTGCGGTGGCCTGGGAAGAAAAGCAAGAAACACACACTTCCCTTCTAGTCCCAGCTCAGTTGGAACTAAGCCTGAAGGACCTGGAAATAGCAAAATAATGGGCTCCCTGTGATCCTGGTTTCCTTACACGGCATTTGGGAAACCTGATAACTGAAGACATTAATAGATCACCTTCAAGTAAAGTCAAATGAAGATGCCTTAGCTTTATATTCAAGGCCCTCTTTCACCTGGCCTTGCCCATCTCCCCCAGCTCCCTCCAGGGCAAGCTCTTTTGCTGTAAGGACACACAAGTGTTTGCTATCTTCCTCCTTTACTATGCTATTTCATGCCTGTCTGTTTATGCTGTTCCCTGTGTATGGCTTTCTCACCCTGCCAAGCCTGCCTGGCAAACTAATTCTCCTTCTCATCTCAGTTCAAGTATCGTGTCTCCTCTGGGAAGTCTTTCATTTCCCCAGGCAAACGGGTTTCCATTCCTCTGTTCTTCCACTGGACCTCCCAACTGTGTAAACTTTGTATATGGGCACTGCTGGTTTCTAAACTAGGAAGTTATTTAAGTCAGAGAGAGTTTCATTTATCTCAGGATCTTCTTACTTAACCTTAGGACCCAAGGGAGTTAGGCAGGTGCTTGGAGAGCTGCTTAGTGAACCTGTCTGGTCACAGATGGTGAGTTGGAATGGGGGGACTGTGGATAGGAACATAACCCTGGCCTGGATCCCCAGCAAAGGAGAATGGAGGTCTGACTCCAAACCTCAAGAGACCTAACTACGCGGTCATGTCAAAACGACAAATACACATCTGTGAACGAGTTCTCAGCTGCCTATCTAAGACTCTGCCTTACTTCTTTGCTACCAGGTGGTGATTTCTGATTTCCAGTGTGTGTTCAGGTGAATGTATACTTACATACATATATATGTGCTGTGTCTACGTGGAGAATGAAAGAGGAAGAGGTGAAAGAGTGGGAGTAGAGGAGAAAGAAGGAAGTGAAGGAATCTTAACACATTTTCTCCAACAATAGTTCATCCTATAGGAAGGAACTGGAAACATGCCTATAAACACAAACATCCAATACTACAAAAACACCTAATATACAAGGAGGAGGAGGGCAAGCATGAGATACATTTCTCAACATTATATACTCCCAAACTTCATAAACACCAAGTACATCAAAATGAATTCCTAGCTATTTGTTCTGCCTCCTTCCTCACGTTTATTGTCTAGTGCCACTCCAAAGCTGGAAAGCACAGACCATGGGGCACAGGTTCTACAGTCCAGTATCCCTTCTCAGTCAGCAACAGGGCCTATCTTCAGAAGGCCAGGTCAGAGTGTACAGGCATGTGGTGTTGAAAAAGACATGCAAATGGGGCCAGGTGCAGTGGCTCATGCCTGTAATCCCAGCACTTTGGGAGGCAAAGGCAGGTGGATCACCTGACGTCAGGAGTTCGAGACCAGTCTGGCCAACATGGCAAAACCTGTCTCTACTAAAAATACAAAAATTAGCCAGGCGTGGTGGTGCATGCCCGTAGTCCCAGCGTCTCAGGAGGCTGAGGCAGGAGAATTGTTTGAACCCTGGAGGCGGAGGTTACAGTGAGCCAAGATGGTGCCACTGCACTCCAGCCTGGGCGATAGAGCAAGACTCCATCTCTTAACAGAAAAAGAGACATGCAAATGGGAAACAAGATCCTAGTTCCATATACAAGGAGGTTCACAGCCAAGCAGCAGAGTTATGACTGCTACTTCTCAGCTATCTCAGGATACCAACCTACTTTCCTCCCTAAGGATTTTCCTGCTTGAAAATGAAAATTCAAATGGTAGCAAGCAACTCTGAGATCTGTCTCCCACTTCTACTGCTCTCTCTGGCCTTCTTGCCAGTGCAGCCTACTTCTGTCTGTGTACTCTCTGACACCTGGTAATGAGGTGCTGCTTAAGAAATCTCTATCAAATGACGATGCCACCAGAGGGCAAATCCTGTAATGAATGAACCCTGACTCATGGATCCTCATATGCACAGTGAGAAGTAAAGCCTCCAGTTCTTTCTTTCCTCTTTAATATATGGTGGGATACCTTTCTGACATTCCCCTCTGGATAACTGTACTTCTGGGTAGTGAAGAAACAAAGGCTCTGCAAATACAGTTTCCAAACTCATAGTTTCCTGCTGTCTCCTTCTCAAGCAGTCTGGAAGCCCTTGTTGCTGTGTCCACAGCCTCCTGGCTGACTTTCTGTCCTTCTTGGTTATCTCTGGAGGTAGCACTTCATTCCCTCACTCCAGAGTCTTCCCAATGGGGCTGGCTGTAGGCAGCCACCCTGGGGGGCACTGCTACTCTCCTTTTAAATGGATCCTTACCTTTGGGAATCTTTCTTTGTACACATGATTCATCATTATTATTTCACTGTCAAAGGAGACTGGGGATCGTCCAGGACTAAAAAAAGAAAAGAAATGATTGTGTTACTTTAGGGCTATGGAACTATCAAGGAGAAAGATGGCCATCCCCAGAGATCCTGCCCCTCCCATCATCTTCAGCAGCCTACACATTTCCACCTTAATGGGTACTGAGTTCTAGAGCCTTTCTTATTCCTGGAGTTTTCAGTGTACCTTGTTCAGTTCAAAATGGTACTATATGGAGCTAGGCTTGGTTTTCACAAAGACCTCTTCCAGGCTAGAAAGACCTAGAAGGGACCTACTCCTAAGCTCACTGGTGGCTTTCCCAGGATAACCTTCCCCAGAGTAGGATTCTGTGTCCTCTTAGTTTTGGCCAATAGGGTTGGGTGTGCCCCAGCATATTCTTGGGAACAAAGCAAATTAAAAAACTACCAAAGCAACCAAAGAAGACGGTGCACACGTACATTTTTTTCCAAACTAGCTGCAGCCAGTGGACCTAACTTAGGGATGAATGAGGCCAGTTCAGACTGTTGTGAGTTATACATCTGGGTCATTTACTGAAGGGAGCCAATATGTTTTCTGCTTTAATTTATTATCTTCCCTGATAACCTAAATCTCCCCCTCTGGCTCATGTGTGGTTATATCTCCTCAAAAAATTTCAAAGTTGGAGCCACATAGTTGAACGGATATGTGGGTCTTGCCCAGTTTACTGCCCCTGACACATGATCCCAGATGTGCTAGGTCCACAACTGTCCCACTCTGTCTTTCTTCCCTGGAATGTGCCATGTTGTGCCTGCTGTACTGCTGCACATTACCAAGGATTTAAGAGTAATATACCAGGGATTTCTCTGAGCATCACTGTAGGCCTCTCAATCTCAACTGGCCTAAAAGGTACCCTTCTCTGTGCATGGGTTATTGAGACCACCAAGACTCAGATGTTCCTCTGTGAGACAGAGAAAGGCACTGGAGATTCACACCTGCTCGTTTGTATGCTTGATCCTTCACACTTAAGCCCCAGATACCATCTTCATCAGTCTCTGAACCTGAACCAGTCATCGTGGTCTGGCCCAGCTTTCCTGTCACTCCCGGTGCAGTGCCAGCATTACCTGAGGGGATTCTTTCTGGGAGGAACTGCTGCTCCTCTGGGATCCTGCCCTGCACATATTAGCCAATCAATTACTTCTCAGGGACCCTGCAATACTGAGCTCAATCATTAAAGTCATGTTCATTTGAATCTCCATCATCTTCCTTAACCTAACATTCTGGCACTGATTTACTAGCTAACGCCAAGGAGAATCAAAAATTAATCAGCAGCTGTTAAGGTTTGTTTGGTTTGATGAACATGTGCCCAGGTGATTCACAGAATAAAGACAGATTCAAATGGCATTTAATTCTGCTTTTGAAATGGGCTTCTTCCCCACGCCAGCAACCTGTCTTAAGCAGCAACTTTTTCAGCTGGCCTAGATCATACACCCAGGGCCAATGGGTTCTGGAGCCAGATAACCATCAGAATTGATGATACTATTGTTCTCCTTTTACCGGAGGTAATCTAAAGTATATTTCTGCTGCTAACTACCCTTAAACAGAACAAAAGAGGGATCAGTTGACAGTATTGCTAAATACCTCCTGGGGTGATAGGTTGAGCTGTACCTGAAGCCAAAAAGAGCTTGGGCTTTACTGAACTTGACTCACTGAAGCTGGCCAATGTATTATGCCAGGGGTAGCAAACTACAGCCTGCAGACCACCTATGGCCTAATACTTTTTTTTTTTTTTTTGGGTAAATAAAGTTTATATATTATTTGTGGATACTTACTACAACAGCAGAGTTGAGGAATGTGACCAAGATATATGACCTATAAAGCCTAAAACTATTTACTGTCTTGGCCCTTTATAGCACAAGTGTGCCCACCCCTGTGCTACGCAAACGAGCTGAAATCCACATGCACTGGGACAGTGGGCAGACAGCACTCTCACCTGAGGCTCCGGGAGCGGGGCCGCATGGCTGGGGACTGCCGTCCCTCCTCATCTGGTACGCTCTCTGTGCTGAAATGCTTCGTTAAAAAGTGCAGCTCATCAGCTGTAGGCTGGAAAGGCAACTGATGCAGCTTTTCCTGTGAGGAGCATGATGACTAGAAGGGAAAACATTAAGAAGTGGCATTAAAGACATGTCCCAGAGCAGTCCACTAATGGGGAAGGACTGAAAATGGTCAGGGAACTTCCCAGTCACTATAAACCCAAAGCAGGTCTTCTTTCCTCCACTCCCTTAGCCTTGTCTGTGCTTGATCCTGTTCTTTTCCAGCGCTTCAGAGCCCTCAGCCCTGAGGAACCCAATATACTGGAGTCCTTCAAGGGTTGTGCAGGGAGTTGGGCCCAGACCTTCATGGAATTTTAGAACTGCAGAAGTAGTTAATAAATCATGCTTCCTCACTTGGGACATGTTCTAGGTACGCCCAGCTGCGAATAACATCCTCTTACGTTCTCCCTTCCACAATCTTGAGAGAGCCACCCTGGGGGCAGCTCAGCAATGTTTCCTTTTGGCTGGTATCTGAAGAAGTGCCTTTTCTGGGGTTGTAAAGGCTGTGCCTAGACTCAAGCTGGCCACTGTATTATGCCAGGGGTTAGCAAACTATAGCCTGCAGACCAGCTATGGCCTGGTGTCCAGCAGGTAAGAAAATCCAGCAGGGAAGAAAATTACTTTTACATCTGGACCCAAAGATTAGGCTTGACCTGAAAACACTCATGAATTCTAAACATGGCTCAGTGACTGAGGACTCCTCACAACAGCACTGCCAGTCTCAACAGGCCATCTGAGGGAGGGTGCTCGGCTATCACAGGACTTCCATAGGTGCAGCTAATGCTGAAGCACCCATTCAGCCCCAGGACTGGGGAACTCCCCCCATTACCTGACAAGACTGACAAAGAGAACAGGCAAGTTAAACATTGTCAGCCCAAGTTCTATTTACCAAACTGATCACTGATCTGGGGTTTTGTTTTTGTTTTTGTTTTCTGAGACGGAGTTTCGCTCTTGTTGCCCAGGCTGGAGCGCAATGGCATGATCTTGGCTTACTGCAACCTCCGCCTCCTGGGTTCAAGCGACTCTCCTGCCTCAGCCTCCTGAGTAGTTGGGATTACAGGCATGTACCACCATGCCTGGGTAATTTTGTATTTTTAATAAAGACGGGGTTTCTCCATGTTGGTCAGGCTGGTCTGGAACTGCGACCTCAGGTGATTTGCCTGCCTTGGCCTCCCAAAGTGCTGGGATTACAGGTGTGAGCCACTGTGCCCAGCCTGTTTGTATTTTTTTCAGAGACAGGATTTTGTTCTGTTGTCCTGGCTGGAGTGCAGTGGAGTGATCATAGCTCACTGCTGCCTCAAACTTCTGGACTCAAGTGATCCTCATGCCTCAGCTTCCCAAGCAGCTGAAACTGCAGGTGCATGACACCATGTCCAGCTTTTTTTTTTTTTTTTTTTTAAATAAAGTGACAGGGTCTTGCTGTGTTGTCCAGGCTGGTCTTTTGGAACTCCTGCTCTGACCTCCCAAAGTGCTGAGATTATAGGCCTGAGCTACTGCTTCCAGAGCCAGGGTTTAAATATCTAAATCCATTTAAGAATCAAAGCTAGGCCAGGGGCGGTGGCTCACACTTGTAATCCCGGCACTTTGGGAGGCCGAGGTGGGCGGATCACGAGGTCAGGAGATTGAGACCATTCTGGCTAACACGGTGAAACCCTGTCTCTACTAAAAATACAAAAAATTAGCCGGGCGTGGTGGCGGGCACCTGTAGTCCCAGCTACTTGGGAGGCTGAGGCAGGAGAATGGCGTGAACCCAGGAGGCAGAGCTTGTAGTGAGCCGAGATCGCGCCACAGCACTCCAGCCTGGGCGACAGAGCGAGACTCCGCCTCAAAAAAAAAAAAAAGAACCAAAGCTAAAGCACCACACTGAGACAACTCTGTTGTCACAGGCTTAATAAACAAGTGAGAAATCAGCATTTCTTTTTGGCTAACAGTGCACATTTTCTCTCACAGAATGCTATAATACATGAAGTTATAAACAGCTAGTGAGATGTCTCCATAGGGTTATTTCTTGGCCACATTTTAATAAATGATTTGGATAAAGTTGTAAAACGTATTCTTATCAGCTATAGCTAACATGAAACTAGTGAGGCAGTGTAAACTACAGTGGGCAAAACTGGTATTTTAAAGAATCCTAATAAACTGGAGCAATGAGTTAAGTCTATTAAAATTTGCAGAAAAGGAATATTTATACATAGATGAGACTTACCTTGGTTCTAAAAAAAATCACTTGTTTGAGTAAAGAGTTATGGGAAAGGGGATTTTTTTTCTTTTTTTTGAGACGGAGTCTTGCTCTGTTGCCCAGGCTGGAGTGCAGTGGCGTGATCTCAGCTCACTGCAATCTCTGCTCACTGCAATCTCTGCCTCCTGGTGGTTCAAGCGATTATCCTGCCTCAGCCTCCCAAGACGCTGGGACTACAGGCGCCCGCCACCACGCCCAGCTAATTTTTTGTATTTTTAGTAGAGATGGGGTTTCACCATGTTAGCCAGGATGGTCTCGATCTCCTGACCTTGTGATCTGCCCACCTCAGCCTACCAAAGTGCTGGGATTACAAGTGTGAGCCACCGCGCCTGGCCTGGAAAAGGGGATGTTTATTAGGGAAAGACCTTAAACTTAACAGCTGCCAAAGACCAGTGACATCTTTGGATTAGTGTGATAGTAATATCTAGGTTGGAAGAGGAAATATACTCCTTTTCCCTGCTCGAGATTCAGGAATAAAGGCACAATGAGCAGGGAAGACCTGAAGAATGCTGCAAGCAATGGGGATGGGGTCAGCAGGTCTACGGCCTGCTTCTGTATGGCTTGCAAAGACTAAAACATTTACTCTACATTTGGCCCTTTACAGAAAAAGTTGGCCAAGCTTGTAACTGTGGTTTTAATAAAAAGTTGCTCGGCTGGGTGTGGTAGTTCACGCCTGTAATCCAAGCACTTTGGGAAACCAAGGCAGATGGATGGCTTGAGCCGAGGAATTTGAGACCAGCCTGGGAAACATGATGAAACCCCGTCTCTACAAAAAATTAGCCTGCTACAGGGTGGGCATGCCCCTGCAGTCCCAGTCTACTCAGGAGGCTGAGGTGGGAGGATCATCTGAGCCTGGGGAGGTTGAAGCTGCAGTGAGCCGTGATTGCGCCACTGTACTCCAGCCTGGCCAACAGTGGCACTCTGTTTCAAAAAAAAGGTTGCTCAATGAGGGCTTACTTAAGGGTCAATTGTGCATAGCAGCAATTAGTACAGCTCTTGTGTTTTAGGCTAAAACATTCTCCATAAGAAACGTTTTAGAGACAGGTCCAGCTTTTTGCTTCATACACATCAAACTTGGATATCAAATAACAATCACTCTTCCCTTCTTTTTTGAAAGAAAAAGGCAAAAAAGAGAGGAGAGTCTACCAAGTGTTTCGGATATGAGAAAGGTGATCTATCTGCTCTTGGTTCCAGTTCTAGAAATAAGAATGGAGGAGTAGGAGAAGTGTGCTTAGGAGCCCCCATACCTGGTCTCACTGTCAAAGCAAAAGTTCATCCTCAAGCTCTCCTCTGCCTCCACTAGATGTAACTGATTCCCAGAGAGAGCACTGGTCATCCTTTCTGAAGGCACTTATGGAGCTAGCTATGGTTGGGAAGGGACACCAGCCCTCTGTTGCACCCAGCATCATCTCTAAGCAACCTCTTTGAGTTTGACTTTGGAGAAAAACTTGACAACCATTTTGTAACACTAGATAACCCAAAGGGAAGTACTTCCTCAGGGTGAAGGAAGTATGACCACAGATTTGGCTACTTACTGAGACAGTGGAGCTAGGAGTGTTAGTTCCATATCCTGAAGAGGGCAAAGAGGCCAAAGACCAGCGTCGCCCATCAGTCCTGTATGCAAGAAAAAAGTATTAGGTAGTTTCTACAGGACTACACCCTGACCCACAACCTGCCTGTCTGTCCATCAGCATTTGGGGGCAGTTGATTCACTGTAGGGCTCCTCTTTAAGACATTACTGCTCAATCCAGTACATGCTTTTATCTCTCTCTCCTACAGAGGGCTTATTGTTGTTTTCCCTGAAAAGACAGACATCTCTGACTATAAAATAGTCCATGACTTTGTATAACAGAAGAACATCTGTCATATAACACTGTGGTTTTGGAATAAACATTTTCATACTCTCAACTTACTTTCATAGAAACAATGACAGAGGATTCCAGCTACAGGCAACATCACAAGATAGAACTGCCACTGAAATGCAGCTATTTCCGTTTGTGAAGGCTCCATATTAAGGGTTCTTTGGTCTTCCCCAGGCCACTGGCTGACAACAGGAAGAAGTGGGCCACCATCTGGGTCTGAACTGAGCTAATCAATGGGAAATAGTTATAGGCTGCCTAGGGGCCATTAGGACTCATAAAACCAATCTTTGGGAATGTTTGTCGAAGAGTGACAGTAACTTTATGAAAGAGGAGGGAGGTGACATACCCTTAGCTGTATAAGAGGCTTTGGGGGAGGCTTCCTGCTGCTCTCAAAAGGATGCTCCCCAAAGCTCTCATGAAAACAAACAACCCTCCCCACACACACACAGTTATTTGCTTTACTGTAGAGGGGAAAGATCAAGCAAGGATCTAGTTTGAAACTTTTATAACATGAACGTGTGATTCTTTGCTTGGACTGTGGGATGTGGTGTATTCTTTTTTGTAGGGCTTAAGGGTACAGCCTGCTCTGGTTGAAATTAGATACTTTTTTTGCTGCTACTCATGGAACCTTAGACTATCAGCAATGGAGGATCTTTATAAGTTCATATTACAATTTACAGAGAAAACACTAGGATCCTGAGATTTGGGTGGTTTGTTCAAGGCTTCATGGTTATGGCAGGGACAGGGAGAGGAAGAAGCAAAAAGGAATACATCTTGCTGGGGCTTCTCCCTTCGAAGCACTCCTCCCCACCCTCACCAATACCTAGCAGCTTTTCTACTCCATTCTCTAAGGGGTGAGTCGAAGGTTCCATGCCACATGCACATGACTCAAACTTCATGCCACCCTGGCAGCAGCACATATAGGCTATAACTCTGCTGGAACCTAGTCTCTGAGGTTCAGACATGTCCAGGAAGGTGCTCAGACATCACGTTCTCTCTGACCTCTTTGCTGGGTCCTGGGAGCACCACACAATAAAGCAAGCTGGTTCCAGGACACAGCTCAGCAACAATGAGACAAGTATAACTCAGGGTTGGTTTTGCCAAACCCTTGTCAAATACACTTTTGCACATGTGAGTTTTCCTCCCCTTAGATAAAAATGAAAACCAGTTGCATGGCAGCTATTTCTCTGTATAATGAACGGCAGGGGCCACCAGAGTCAGGAAGAAATGCCACCCCATGATGCCTCTATTTCCTCTATCTGGTCACCGCAGTCACCTGACTGTGTAAAGTTGTGGGAATAAGGATGACTTGTCCCTAAGCTCAGAAGTTTGGAACTATTCAGCTATTCCTGCATCCAAGCACATGAGCTCTGAGCCTTGGTTCCAGCAGGTAGAGGGAGATCCCTTTGGGCCTCTTTGCAAGATAGGAAAGGCCCAATGTTCATACCCAGTCAGAGAAGAATCATCACAACCAGTTTTCACCAACCACAACATCACAAACCATATTGTCTGGCCATGCATAGCAGTTTCCCAGCCCCTCTCCCCATTATACCCGCTATTACCTGTCAGCTCTGTGGCTATGGCTGTAGTAAAAAAATACACATTACAGTGAGAACCAAAGGAACCAGAGAGAGTAATCTTTTTGAATCTTGGTATTTGGTCTAGCTTGGCACATTCCTTCTGTTTAGGAATGTGTGATAGTTTGAAGTGAAATTGTAGGACCAATGGGTCTATCCTTAGTGTTCAATCTGTCTTTTGTTTGATATTGCAAACCAATGTGATCCTCCAAAGCACCAGCCAGTAACACAGAAACAAACAATTCCTGATACTCTGTTTGGCAGGGTTGAAACACTTCTCCCCACCCCACCAATAACCAGCAGCTTTTCCTACTATGTTCTATAAGAGGACAGCCCAGAGATCCATGTTCCATGCACATGACTCAAATGTCATGCCACTTAGCATAGACCTGTTTGTGTCTCAGTGGTAAAAAAACAGGCCCTGAGGCCTCCCAGTTGGTCCTACTCCCAAACCAAGGCAATGAAACAGACCCACGGTATCAATGGAACAGGCTGTTCCCTCTGCCTAGAATGGTCTGCACACACCTGGGTCCTCACACTTAACGTGCCAGCTGCTTCTCACCCTTCAGAGAGGTTTTACATGGCCGCCCAATGGAGGTTCTCTGGCCTTAGTCTCTTCCTGTTCTTGTTCTGTTTTGTTTTGAGATGAAGTCTTACTCTGTCGCCCAGGCTGGAGTGCAGTGGCACAATCTCGGCTCACTGCAAACCTACCTCTCGGATTCAAGTGATTCTCCTGCCTCGGCCTCCTGAGTAGCTGGGATTACAGACCTGCACCACCATGCCCAGTTAATTTTTGTATTTTTAGTAGAGATGGTGTTTCACCATGTTGGCCAGGCTGGTCTCAAACTCCTGACTTCAAGTGATCCACCTGCTTCGGCCTCCCAAAGTGCTGGGATTACAGGCGTGAGCCACTGCGCCCGGCCCTCTTCCTGTTCTTTCATGCAGCATCATGCTCTTTCCCTCTATGGTGCTTGTCATAACTTATATCTATATACTTGTTTGTCTTTCTCTCCCACTACTCATTTGTCTTCCCGCCAGGACACAGAGCTTTCAACAAATGAAGGTATCTCTATTAAAGGTGACTTGATCGTGGTTGAACTGAGACAGAAAATATGCAAATAAGAAAATATCAGGAACTGAAAAGTACTATTTTGAAAATAAAACTGGATGATTTGATGGAGAAAGACAAGAAGGCCCCTTTAGATTGAATGTTTAGGGAAGGCCTCTCTGAGGAGGTGACGTTTAAGATGAGATATGAATCATAAGAATGAGTTAGCTAAATGAAGATTTGAGGGAGCAGCAGTCCTTACAAAGGAAACAACCAGTACACAGACTCTCCTACATCGTGAGTTTCAGGGAAGTAGGGACTATGTCTATTTTGCTACCACTACATAACTCAGCACCCAGCCGAGTGTGCCTGGCTCTACGTGGTGGTGCTCAGCAAATATTTATCGAATGAATGAGAAGTAACTCGATGCCACCTATGGGGATCTGGCCACAGGTCTTGGTGTCCCAGCTCATACCTACTCTGAGAGTGCAGTTGATATACAGTCCAGGCAAGAAGTCTGGGATAAGTCTTTCCACCTGGGTTGGAAAAACAAATGCACCAATCCAGCATATTCTTACACTGTAAGTGATCTTATCTGGATCCTTGCTTAACAAATGGGAAGTTCCATAGGGTAGGAGAGATGAGCCCGTGGAACAACCCTGGATAAAACTTGTTTTGAATAAGGTAAGTGGGTTGAGGGAGGAAACCCAAATCAGTCATCAAACTTATCCCAACCTGTTCATGTTCTTTTCAGCCAAAAATAATCCTGGAAAGAGGATGGATTTCTTTTGGGCTATCATTGGAATAGTGAGTTAACACTGTTTCCAGGAGCCTCCCCTTTTCCTAATATGTCTTTTTTAAAAAAGTAGTCTAAGTATTAAAACTGTCCTGGCCTCCAGCTATATTACATTCTCCATCCATTAAAGGTTACAAATCTGGAACCATAATTTTCCTGGAGGTCTTATACTAGAGACTAACTCTAACAAAGAATAATGTTAAAAATTAAAAAATAAGATAAAATAAATATAAACTCTGGCAACAAATCTTAGAAAAGTTCTGACAAGAAACCACGTGTGTACAGAGCCTAGGTATGTGATTTGGATGGATTAATCTCATTCAGCTTTCTCCAAAGGCCTGATGATATTCCAGCCACAGACAGAGCTGTCAGCATTGCTGCCCTGGGCCAGAGACAGGTTTGTATCACTCTCAAGAGGGGAGAAACACAGGAGGTGGACCATAAGCATGGCTTTGTATGCACCAAATCTTTCTAAATTCATGGAAGGAAAAGTGAAGTCCCTGTAGTCTCTTTATCCCCCAAACGAACTCCAGTTCAAAGTCAAGGAGAGAAGCACAGAGGGCCCTTCCAGCCACCTTAAACTAGCTGAGTTAGAGAGGACAAAGAGTGTAACTTTGGGTCCTCCTGGAGGAGAGCTTATTTTCTCATCGATCACTCTAGGACAGTTCTCAATTGAGAGTGTAACGCTTTGGAACATACCCGCAGGACATCACGGACTTAAAAAAAAGTGAATTGTACAAATAAATCTACTTTTACTTAATATCTACTCTCCTGTTTAAATATTCAAACACAAATACATGGGGCACCTACAAAGCAAAACCAGAACACGATGATTACAACATGGGAGAGGAAAGCAAAGACAGAGTTTTGATGGATGGGAGCTTCAGGTAATACACTTGAAAGAATAGTGACACTTAAAGGAGGAATCTGACATTCAACTAACCCTCATGCAAGTGCCACAGGTGCTGGTCCCAGAGGAGGTTTTCTATCAACTTACCTACGGGCAGGAACAAAGGAAAAGTGAGCAGGTGCATTTGGAGAGAAATTCCGGGGGCTGTCCAAAGGACTGTTACCTGTTGATGGGAAAAGAAACGAAACTCTGTAAGGTTTGCTTTTGAGGAGGGCAGACATGACCTTCGGGCAAGAAATCTTCCCCTAGCACTGGCAATTATATGGTTATTTTCTCAGGGCCACTATCAGTTTAATGAGTTTCTGTAAAAGTTTCATGGCCCAGAGGTTTTCTCCCTTGTTCCCAAGTTTCCTATAACAACCCATGTCTCTCAGACAACCATTCTAGATCTAGCAGCAACTTGACTATTTCCTGCCCTCCTAGGAACACACCTGAGACTTCAATCTGTCTTGTCAAGTGAACCAACATTCAGAAGGCTTAAAGAGCTCATTCAGTACAGAGGGTATAGCCAAAGGTTCATGCTTTCTCAAAGGGCAATAGGACCCCAATCCAAGTTTCTTGAATATATATCTCTCTGTGCACTGTATCCAAGGGCTAAACCAGGAACATGTGTATTTTAAGGGGAAAGAGAAGTTCTCAGGTAGGGACTCAGGACGGTAGTAAACCTTAAGATAGTTCATAATCAAGGCCCCCAAGTGTACAAAGCATACCACCACTTCTTATTAGTATTCACGTGCCCCTATAACTTGCTAACTTAAAGCTCAGAAGCTTTCAATAAAACTGTAAGTTTACCTTTGTACTAATCCCAATAGTTCTTAAACCTAAGCCTGCCATACTTCTCTGGGCTATCTTCTAGTTGGGGGCTGGTACATAGGAGCCCCTAGCTGGCAGTTGTTAATATGACTCTACTCAAAAGGCCATGTTGAAGTAAGCACCATACTCCATGCTGTGCTGGCACCCCTCTAACCCCTGTCCACCTCCTCACTGCTGTGCTTACCTCCCAGGGGCCTGGTACTTCAGCATGCGCTGGCTTTCTCTTGGATAGCATGTTTGCTGCACAGGGTATGGATGTTCCAAGTTGCCAAAAACCTACCCCTTTGTTTCCCATTATCTCTATCCAATAGGGTTTATATAGCACGTAATGTCTTTTTATACTGATCTAGTACAAACCAGCCTCTCAATCAGCGCTCCTACTACCCTATGCAGCAGCACCTCTGTATCAATTATATAATGGCATTGTTTTTTGTTGAATGAGAAAGAGGCATCTTCAGCTTCTTCTCACCCCCAGGTGCATAAAATATACAACTTCATCCAGTGGATATGCTCTCAACATTGCATGAACTCTGCGTTTTCCATGCTTTGTGTGAGGACTATCTGTTATGACCTCTCCCCATCTTCTGGCTAGCGGGCACCAGGATATAAGGGAAGTGATCCTGAGTAGCTGTTTCCTTAGCCAGGACTTAATAAGGATCAGGTCTCCTCAGAAGCATCAAGGCTTATTTTTTAAAAACAATTTTATTCTTTCTTGATAGTGTCATCTCATGTCAAAGATTAACAAATATCCAGTTTGATTCTTGACATGCAAAGTCAGATGCCCTTTGTTGGTTAACTACCCAGCTAAAGCCTCAAGGAGATGCCTGGACATGAGCATCCTACAATAACTAGCCTTCCAAGGATCGGTCTGGGTACAGAGGTACAAAGAACCTTCCAGGTGCTCATAGTAGGGCTAGGGTTACATAACACACATGTATGTCAGAAATAACTAACACCGAGAGGAAAAAAAATTATCAAAAAAACTAAACAGCACCACTGAGCTGTAGGACAACTTCAAGCAGCGGGAGGGGAGACAGGGGGATACAGAAAAAAGACAGGAAGAAATAATGACTGACAACTTTGCAAATTTGATAAAAACCATATACCCACATGTTGTGTGACAGGTTCTTTACCAGATTACTTAAAGGTACATATGTTCGCTGCCTGAAACTTGAAGGCTAGGCCCATGGCAATGGTACCCAGCTGAGAAGCAGGTATCCCTGAGAACCAACCAAACATCCTAGAGAGTATCTGAGAACCTCTCAAGAAAAACAGTATCACTGTTCAAACACAGTAGGCAAAGATCCAGAAAATTAGCTTAAAAGCAGTTTAGAGGGAGCCAGGCGCAGTAGCTCAGGCTTGTCATCCCAGTTTGGGAGGCTGAGGAGGGCGGATCACTTGAGTCCAGGAGTCCGAGACCAGCCTCAGCAACATAGCAAAGCACCCCATGTCTTAAAGAAAAAAAAAAAAAATGCAGTTTAGAGACACGAGGCAGCATGGCTCTCTAGAGCTGTCCCGCTAGTCCAGGAGTGCCTTGGATGTAAGCTGAATAAACTCATCTACTCATCAAGCTCAACTGTCTGAGTCATCCTTTGGTCTCATGGCTCCTTCCCAGCTTAGGTAGGACGTTGCAGCCCCAAGTTTTTCTTGTAACATCACAAATCTAAGATAATCTCTAAGAATCCCAAACATGAGAAAGAGGAAGAGGAGTACATCAAAGAATGTCATAGTCAAATCGCTCAAAACTCAAAATACAGAGAAAAATCTTAAGAGCTAGAGCTTGGTAGAGCTGGGTGAAGTGAGAAGATGATGTTATACAGAGGAACAAAGAAGGATTATAGCAGATTTCTCGTTGGAAACAATGCAAGAAGACGGCAGAGCAATATCTTTAAATTATGGAAGATATAGGCCAGGCGCGGTGGCTCAGGCCTGTAATTCCAGCACTTTGGGAGGCCGAGGCGGGCGGATCACGAGGTCAGGAGATCAAGACCATCCTGGCTAACACGGTGAAAACCCGTCTCTACTAAAAAATACAAAAGGATTAGCCGGGCGTGGTGGCGGGCGCTGGTAGTCCCAGCTATTCGGAAGGCTGAGGCAGGAGAACGGTGTAAACCCAGGAGGTGGAGTTTGCAGTGAGCCGAGATCGCGCCACTGTACTCCAGCCTGGGTGACAAAGCGAGATTCCATCTCAAAAAAAAAATAAAAAATAAAAAAAAAAAATTATGGAAGATATGGCTATTCTCCTGCCAACCTAGAATTCTAGACCCAGCTGTTGTGTAGTAACGAATCTGATTGGCCTTAGTCCCCAGTTCCTCGGAAGGAGCCTCTAAATCCTTGGAATTTCAAAACCCAAGTGATAGGAGTGCTTCTGTTATTCATGATGGGGCCTGATACTTTATGCTAATGATATAACTCAGAATGGAGGCTGGCCACACCTGAAAGACCAACCATGTAATTGGAGGGTTGGGGCTTTGAGGCTCACCTAGCATGAAGGAGTGCTAGCACTCACCTAGCACTTTGGGAGGCCCAAGCAGGCAGATCACCTGAGGTCAGGGGTTCAAGGCCAGTCTGGCCAATATGGCGAAACCCCATCTCTACTAAAAATACAAAAATTAACCGGGTGTGCTGGCACATGCCTATAATCCCAGCTACTCAGGAGGCTGAGGCAGGAGAATTGCTTGAACATAGGAGGCGGAGGTTGCAGTGAGCCGAGATCGCACCACTGCACTCCAGCCTGGCTGGGTGACAGAGTGAGACTCCGTCTCAAAAAAAAAAAGAAAAAAAGAAAAAAAAGAGGGTTGGGGCTTTGAGCCACTTGCTATCAGTCTGACATAACCTGACTTCCCAGAAGTGGAGAGGGGCTAGAGATTAAGTTCAGTCATATGGCAAATGAGTCGATCAATCATGCTTATAAAATAAAACCTCACTCTGGACACAAAGCTCCTGTGAGCTTCCCTGCTTAATAATAATTTCTATGTATTGGTATACATCGATGTGTAGGAGGGTGATGCATCCTGACTTCACAGGGAGAAGGCACTGGAAGCTTTGTGTTGGGACCCTCCCAGACTTTGTCCTACACATGTCTTCTTTGGTCAGACCTGATTTTTATCTTTTTTGCCACAATAAAATTGTAAACCTAAGTATAGTGGTTTCCTGAGCTCTGTGAATCATTCTAGTGAATTACTGAACTCAGGAGGTAGTAAGAAACCTCAAATTTGTATCTATTTTGTCAGAAGTATGGGTGACTTGGGAACCCCAAAACTTCTGCTTGGTGTCTAAAGTAAGGGCAGTTTTGTAGTAGACTAGGCCCTTGTAAAGTTTGGCCTAATTTGGGGTAGTGTCAGAAGTCATTGTACCGGCAAAAAAAAATTTTTTTTGAGATGGAGTCTTGTTTTGTTGCACAGGCAGGAATGCAATGGTGCGACCTCAGCTCACTGCAACCTCTGCCTCCTGGGTTCAAGAGATTCTTCTGCCTCAGCCTCCCAAGTAACTGGGATTACAGGCACACGCCACCATGCCTGGCTAATTTTTTGTATTTTTAATGGAGACGGTATTTTGCCATGTTGGCCAGGCTGGTCTCGAACGCCTGACCTCAAGTGATCCTACTGCCTCAGCCTCCCAAAGTGCTGGGATTATAGGCATGAGCCACTGCTCCTGGCCTCAGCAAAAATATTTTTAAAAGACAGAGGTAAAAAATAAATACTTTTTCAGACAAAAGAACTAAATAAAATTCTCAACAGCAAACTACACTACAAAAAAAAGTTTTTAAAACGTCCTTTAGGCAGAAGCAAAGGATACCAGGTGGAAATATGGATCTGCACAAAAGAATGAAGAGCAATGGGAAACTTAACTACATGGAAAAGGACGCATGACATTTTCTTGTTATTTAAATCTATTTAAAAAGCAGTAAATGTTTAAATAATAATATTACTATTAAATAATAATAGTGTGGGATTTACGACACATCAGGATCAAAAGTTTGAAAACAACTATATAAAGGCTGGAAGGGGAGAAATGGAAGATTCTAATCCTGTATGTGAAGTGGTATAATATTATTTGAAGATTGATATGAGGGCTATGTTAAAGATATATACTATAAATGCTAAGGTAAACATTAAACAATAAAGGGCTATAGACTATAAGCCAATAAAGGACATAAATGGAATAAAAATACACACTTAACCCCAAATAAAGTAGCAAAAGATCATGGAAGAAGAAAAAACAGATGGAATAATTAGGAAACAAATAAGGAGGTGGCAGACATAAACAAACCACATCAACAACCACATTAAATGCCCCAATTAAAAGGTAGAGATTGTTAGGTTGGATTTTTAAAAAAGAAAGATTTGC